TAAGTCACCTTTGTGGATCCAGGAATCTCACCATTAAAACTAATGTGTTTGAAAGCCCGCTCCCCTCCTGCCCCCCTCCCCCAAAAAACAACATTGTTGATGCTGCCCATTGAAAGAAAGTTTCTTTAAACACACGACCGTCCGGGGTGTTCTTAGACACTGCAGTGATCCGAATGGGTTTCTACTGCCGTGAAGAGACTTTTGCACAGTGAATATATTATATGCTGCTTGCTTTGCACATTTTGCATATTGATCTAAAAGTGTAGTGTAGTTCCCTTTGATCCCACACACAGCAGAAAAGTCTCTTTATAGGTTCAATCTGTTATTGTCTTTTGTTAAAGAAGCTATTTTCATGCTGCTTGTTTAGGTGAAAAAGGGAGATATTTTTGGTGTACGCCGTCATCTCACAAGTTACGGTTAAAAATATGTTCATCAGAGTCTGCTGTTAGTTTAAACACGGAACATTCGGTTTTATTTAGTTGTTGCTTCACGTGCTGTTGCTGCTATGCTGTTGACAGTCACTGTGAGAAGAAAAAAACGGAACCTACCTATGTACCAGGACTAAGAATAGTACGTGTTGTATCTGATTATATATTAATTTATACAAGTGTGATTGCTTCCATATGTCTCTCCCCCAGGTTCAGCTGCAATAACAACCCATTGAAGATGGCTGGTTTAATCCCATTCATTTTGCTCTGTATATCCAGTATGTCAAATCTTTGGAGTAGATTTAACAAATTCTGCGTGTGATAAGGACGGAGACTGATGTTGCATGTGGAAGTTTAAAGCTGATGCACTAACTAGTCAGCAGACCAGGAAGCAGGACAGAGAATTGAGGCTAAATAGGGATCGGGGGAAGGGAATTAAATAAAATAGAAATTAAATCTTTTTACAGTGAAATTGAAAAAGTCTGGCCATGATGACTTGGTGACAGCTAATCCCCCCCCCATAAAAAAGTTTTCATTCATTTATTGAGTAACCTACTTTTTAGTTGTTCAGAGAAAGTTGTATGGTAGGTTACTGTAAGTTTGAAGTTGATTTGAAGTTGCAGAGTAGCTGAAAATACGACACAGCCCCATAGAAGGAATCTGCCATTGTCAAGAACATCAAGATAGTAACCACATGATGTGATGTCGTGATGTCATGACTTTAGCACAGAATGACAAATGGCTCAAATGGTTTCTTTAATTGTCCTACAACTGCCTGAGAGTATGACCAGTCTACTTATTGATGTGGTAAATAGCCAGATGACAAAATCCATATTACAAATGTCAGATCAGGTCACTGACTTTGTCATCACTGTCTTTTGTCCCCTATAATACAACTCTTCTTAATCAAAGCTTGTCACGTGATCACCACCATTCATTTCCACGACCTGACATTTTATTGATTATCTCCACAACTGGAGTTCAACATCAGTGTAACGTGGATGAAGATTTAGTTGAGGTGCAGCCATGAATGGCTTCATGATAATGCATAGACCTTGTGATAATGGTCAATAATTGATGTAAAATCTCATCTTTTTTTATTTTTGACTGACACTTAGCTGCCTGAATGCCTCCGTGCACTTTATATTGGAAGGAAAAAACCCCATCTATTAGAATGCCAAAGTTTTCCATTGAACACTGGTTGAATTTCTATTTTTCTACTTTAAACAAAACAGATGGAAGCAAAGAACCACAACAATCTGTTTAACTTTCAACACAGACTTCTTTTTTTGAGGGGTAAACAATTGATAACCAAAAAAAAATAAATTGTAACACCCATAAGAAAAGAGAGGAAGAGGTCATTAAAAAATCACTCCGGATTATTGAAAACATTGAACGAGAACATGGAGAAACAGAACAAGAACACCACGTTCTGTTCTTCAGGAAAGCAAACAAACAATAAATAAGTGGGAAAAAGGCCAGGATTACCACAATTATACTTGAATACTTCAGGATTGAAAAAAAATATATAAATGTGTTACTGCTGTCATTACCTCTGAACAGCCCCGTCTGGTTTATCCAGTGATCTACTTGAATAAACCAAAGCTCATCATTCTTCCTGAGAGCTTCTCAAAGCATCCAGCCTTAGCTTTTATGTCTCTGCCGTCACCGTGATATACTGTATGCCTTTCTGCTCCATCACTGTCCCATGGCCAATACCATCAAGTCCCTGAAAGAGATCCAGAGCATGGATGAGCTGATGCAAAGAGTGAACATCTTTAAAATTCTTAAATTATATGGTGTGAATACTTGAAAGCATCCTAAACACGATTCAAGCCAAAATGACCTAAAATGTCTTGATAATTGTTTTTTAAAGGTGCATTATTATTATTATTATTGTGATGTCATTGCACAGCCACAGCACAGTGTAACCTCTGGGACCCAATGAAAAACCAAATGGAGAAGAATTGACTCACTGCATTGTAAACTAACAAAGTTACTTGATATGTCAGTCTGTGGGACTACATGTATGTACATGCAGGTTTGTGTGTGTGTTTGTGCATAAGCCTGTCCTTGCATCCTCACATCCTCAGTGGTTCTTCCATCCCCAGGGTGTTAGATTGTCAATGAGGTAAACCCATATGGAGTAGGTGGTGTGTGTGTGTGTGTGCGCGTGTGTGATGGAGAAAAGAGAGAGACAATCTGTAATCTGTTTTTCCTCTGTGTTTTCTGTCATCAGTTAGAAACAGTGAAGTCATACCTTCCAAAGGGGCTGTGTCTTTTTTCATGTATATATATATATATATGTATGTGTGTGTGTGTGTGTATCTGCGATGATGTCACCAGTAGCCAATCAACATGTAGTGTTGCTGGAGGTAGAGCTTATGCGTGTGTGAAGGGGCGGGAGGTGCACCACTGGGAAAAGCACACTTGCTCATTTATCTGGTTCTGCTGCTGTGCACGCATGTACAGCAGCTGATGACTCCACAGGCTTCCTGTCATAGGCACAGCCTCTCTCTTTTTCTCTCTGCTTCTCCCGCTTCACGTACGGCTACGGACCAGATCGTTTTCTTTGCTCGTATTTGTTTCGATGTACCTCACTCTCGCTTCTGTAACAAAAAGCTCTAAATCACTCTCTGTCTGCTCTTAGAAGTAAACTTTTCTTTTCTGGTTTTCTCCTCAGGCTTCTTGGGCTTTATATACATACCCACCTTATTATCCCCTTCAAATTCCTCTTTGCAAGTGTGAGGGAGCATCTGTACAGTATTATATACCAGAAAGCGTGTTTCACTATGGACATAGTCCACAGACACTATAGACAGTTATTTAGGTTTTAAAATCACACTGTATATAAAGTCATAATGTAATAGTAATAATACTGCGTGTAACCCTTTAAATTTCAGTCACAATGCAGTCTTTGCCAACAATTGTGCCGTAGCACACCAGTGTATGGTGAGAGATCATCAAATTATAACATTATACTTATTTGTTTTGAAAAACAGTTATTTATTTTCTCTTTCACTAGGTGGCAGCAGATGGCAATGCAAACTAAAAAAAACAAAAAGAGACTCAGTAGTGTTGAAGAATATCTTGGTGTTTTTCTTCAATTCCTGTTGTATTCAACTAAATGGGTAATGGTTTTATACCGAGTCAGTCAATTGTGAGTAAATATATAGAGGAATAGAAAGTTATATTTCATTACAAATTTCTATGGTTCTACAAAGTGTGATTTTTTTTGTAACATAAAAATGGAAATGTATACAGAATAAAGGCTAAAATAAGGAGAAAAATCTAAACATAGTATTAATGTCAATGACCTGTCACACATTAATATGTGTAACAGAAGAAACGCCTCACAGCTGCTGACTTTTCATTTAATTATACTGGCTTTCACATATGAAATAGAAAAATGAAAACATATCTAGCAAAATATCAATTGTATTCATCCACTATATGACACTACCTTTAGAATATGAATGGCCCCAAGTCAATTTCCTCCTCTACAGTGCCACTAAGTTAAACAGGATATTAGAATAACACAAGAAGAGCGATCCAACTGACATGAAAAAAAAAACAAACTGTGTACAAACAGTGACATTTCAGTTGGAAACATTTAAATCTTTTTGCTCTATAGAAATAAAAAATACCTGGAAATAAATTGCTGAACAGAGATCTTTCCAGCCATTCTACTACTTAATTTGTGGGACTAAATCAATTTATTCGATTATAGGTTTGGACTGGCTACTATTAAGCAATGATTTGTATTTAATTCTAAACAAAGCTACGGGTTTGCAAACTCGTACATCAACAATTTTTGTTGTATTTCTAAGCAGAATATCAACAGAAAAGTAGAATATTGCATGTGAAATTGAGTTATTCCTGCAGCACACAACTTTTACTATTTGAAAAGAGCTGCACACACACACACACACACAGTTGTCATTTGTGTGCCCACCTGGCTCCCTCGTAGGCAGTCAGTGCATCTGATTAGCTCTATCGACTGGTAAAAGGCTGCTACACCAGGTTTCCGCTCATAAAGCCAAGCTACATAGTAATTAGTCTGAGATCGATGTAGCTGTCCTGTGTATGGCTCAGACACACAGTCGTTAAAAAAAAAAAAAAAGAAAAAAAAGGAAAGAGGTTAAGATCAGGGAATTCCTTTTCTTTTACTATTCCACCTATTCCACCTCATCAGGGAATTCCTTTTCTTTTACTATTTCACCTACTTGATTGTTTTCTGTTTCACGTTCTTTCAGTATGTTGGTACGGATCTTTATATTTCAGTCACTTCTAAAGAGTTAAATCCAACATTTGTAGTTTAGTTTTTTTATTTACAAAAACCTAAACTCTACATACAAACAGAATAATATATATATATATACAGTATATATTCTGTTACATTCCTTCTTTGAGCCTGAAGAAATGGTCTTTGCCTTTAAAATTTGTGAGTGCTGCATGATTTAAAAAAATGCTGGCCTCAGTTTATGGTAAACTATATTTGTGAATCAACACTGTGAATAAAGCATTGTGATGGCCTGTTTTTGACTGCACACACCTGCTCCTCCGTCGCAGGTGCCCACGGAGTGCGAGAGGAGCCCCAGTTTGTGACAGCACGTGCAGGAGAGAACGTCATCCTGGGATGCGACGTGTCCCACCCCCTGAACGGCCAGCCCTACGTGGTGGAGTGGTTCAAGTATGGAATGCCCATCCCCTTCTTCATCAACTTTCGCTTCTACCCTCCTCACGTGGACCCAGAATATGCTGGTAAGGAAATCAGAAGGAAGAAGTGGCAGAGGTCAGAAAAGGACATTTGAGTGATGATGATGATGATGATGATGATGATAACAACAACACAGAACTGTGGGTTCATCTCACTCCCAGTAGGACAATGAGCAGCAATCAATTACTGAGTTTATTTCACTAAATAATTAGCAAAGCTTTACTTCTCTGACAAATAAACAAAACAAATCCAGATAATTAAATTCCATTAGAATGGTTCTGTGTCTGTATTTTCAATGTGACACACTGTGCTGCTGATTGTTGTTGTTTAATAAGACGTTCATCTTTTTTGTGCATTATGAATTTAGCTCTTAGAGATCGATGCTCTGTATCTAATGAACTGACTGACTTAACACTATAACTATTCCCTGAACTAAAGTGAAAAAAATATTGTTTGTGATTTACAGAATGCAAACTGGGTTTTAACCATAACATCCTTGCACATTAAAAACAGGCATTGTAACAACATATTAATCAACAACAGTGAAATCCTTTTCAAAGTTGTTGTTGGCAATTCAACAACTGTTATTTTGCAGTCAGAGAAAGAAAGAAACAGAATGTTTTCCCGTTTTGCTTATATGTTGCCAAAAGAATCAAAGCAGAGTAATGTCATCATCTTCATCACCACCGTCTTCTCAAAGGTATCATCTCTGATTAGTGTTTGCTTTCTAATGCAGACTTATAAATATGTCGCCTAATGAATGTTGACAGTTTTAATGATGTGACATTTTCTTCGGTGGCGAGGGCTCCTCTGTCCCTGAGCTTATCTGCATGTGCAGCCTAATGGTTTTGGAGGTAAGAGGGATTTTTCTGTTTCTGTCTGCTTTGGATTCCTCCGGCTTGATTCCTATGGTTTAAAGAAATGTTTTACTACAGCTGTAGTTCAAATAAATGTGTATTGCACAGTGTAAAAAAAAAAACCCCAACAACTTAAGTTTAAATACAGTATAAATAACTATCGCCACACTGCAGTTTAAAGAAATTAAAAAGTGTCAGTTGTGCAGTGGTGAAACCTGCCAGCCATACTGTTCTTTCCATGATGGAGTCGCCTATAGAGTCTTATAATTATGGCGACGCTCATGTCAGAAGGATCTCTTTGCAGATTAGTTCTGTGTAAAAGTTTGGGAAAAAAAAAGAACCTGAAAGCGATTCTCGAAGACACTGTGAGCCAGTACGCCTTCAGATGCAGTGGGACAACAACATCCCACTGTGAACACAGCATTCCATCACTGGAAAGGTCACATTCAAGGGTCAGAGTTTCTGAAATACATAGAGAATTACTTTATTTTGTGACCTCTTTTGAATGTTAGGGGTTAAGGCTTGAAGCCATGAGACACAGATGCACTGAGATCCTTCATGCTTGGTCACAAACCAGGCATTGTCCCGTACTGTATCTCAGAGAGGAAGACCAATCATATGTAATTCACATTAGATTATGTCAAACAGAAGCGATAAGAAATACAATGGCAGAATACAGGAAGTGAAACATGTTGGACTGGAGACTGGACAAATGGAATTTGTTGTTAAGAAAATGAGTATGCGTGATGATAGGTGAACTTTAAAATAAATTACACCATATTTTAGCATACTCTTGTTTATGGGTCTGTGCCAAGACTGGAGATTCAATATAAAAGTACTTGGTAAAGCTGATTACATAATTAAGTGTACTTTTAGGTCCTACAGAGTATGTTTTGAATTCCATTATTTCACCAAGTGAAATCTCTTAACTGTACACCTGGCACCAAGACAGGGCAATTGATTTACAAAAACTATCACACTTGCAAAAGAAGCAAAAAACATTGAGGGTAAAATGAAAGTGACACAACCTAAGAACTGTTTCCAACAGAGCTAACAATAGTACAAAAGCCAAAGTACAAAGTACTACACTGGGTCGTTGTAGTCTCTCAGAAATGCACCATCACAGTCACAGCTTTTTTAGCTCACAGCAGAAGCAATGCATCCTCTCATGATCAATCTCTCAATCAATGCAATGCCAGTTTGGAGGACCAACAGTCCAGCTAAGTGACAGACAACCACACGGTGGGCGCTAGGACAAGGCATCAGTGTGGACTGTCCAAACAGGACACAAATAGACGCATTATGAGCCAAAGTCCTGTCGAGTTTTACTTTAGCTGCCTGAGGAATATGTGACCTAGTTTGGGATCACATTTCATTTGAAACAGTTTGTGAAATCAAGTTGGTTTTTAGGGGCATACATGTGATTAAAACTACATGTCAGCTTTCCACTCCTTGCTGTGGTTGCAAAATCTCAGCCAGAGCTGGATTACATGATGATGGCATCATCCGTGCTTCATTTCCAAACGACTGACTCAAAAGAAAGGCATTTTACAGCCCCGCTCAAGGATCAAAGGTTACTTTATGTCATGTTACATTAATCCTCTCCAGTGTTCATTTCTGCACTGCCAAGTTAATGACCAGGCCTCCTCATTAGTAAAGTTGAAGAGTTATTAACTAGCAGTTCAAATAAAATTAGCTAATAGATGGTCTGTAATTTAATTTGAACAGTGGAACAGCTTTACTCTCTACAAACCTCCTTCCTCAGCTTTAATTCTTCTTAATACAAAGTTACAAACAGACCACACAGAGGAAGGACTGGTAGGAAATCTTGCCTTTCACCAAAATTTGAGGTTCTGGGTCGCAAGGCCGGGTCGCGGGGGCAACAGTCTGAGCAGGCACACCCAGACTTCCTTCCCCCCAGACACTTCCAACTTCTAGGGGGTTCCCGAGGCGTTTCCAGGCCAGCCGAGTGACATAGTCGCTTCAGTGTGTCCTGGGTCTTCCTCTTGGTCTCCTCCCAGTTGGACATGTCCCGAGCACCTCCAGAGGGAGGCGTCTGATGGGCATACAATGTAAATGCCCAAGCCCCCTCAGTGGACTCCTCTCGATGTGAAGCGGCAGCAGCTCTACTGCGAGCTCCTCCCGGAGTTGTCTGTTGTCAGTTGTCTGTTTATAATGGTTTTATTTGTTACACCAAGTTACGCTTCACGGTTCTCAACATCTGTCTTGCTGCTAAAAATATAATATTGCGGTAATTATTTTCATTGCCTTATCACGCAGCCAGACATGTTGCACATTACCAGTTACAAAAGTATCACAACAGTCATTTTCTATTTCTCTAAGTGTGGATTTTCTGTAATAAGTGAAAAGGATGTGACCTCAGAGATGAGAGCGTGAAGGTCAGATCAGCATCTGGCAGTAAAACCGCTGCTGCAGTTAATTGCTATCTTTGACAAAGCAGTGTGTACTGTTTTTAAACTACAAATATCAAGAGTAGACAGAATATTAATAGCAGCATTTTCCCTGTTTGCCTTTCCAGATTCTAAATGTAGAATAAAGGTCTTTTTATTAAGCAGCTGATTCCAGAAATATCTGTAGAATGTCTGTTTTCACCTTTGTTGAATTTTCAGAACTCGAGCCTGTAAACAGGTCATTGGGCAGTGTGAATCTGTTCTGTATGAATCTGAGGGTGGCGTAGCTAAATTACAAGCTGACTACATTGTTATTGGGTTTTTTTTCTTCATTTTTCTTCATTTTGGTGTCTTTCAATGGCCTTCAAGGCTTAGATTCTTTAATCATACTGTTGCATTTAGTTTGTAATAAAACAGAAAGGGAGCATAGCTAGCTAGCTCACTAACTAATTTTGCACATATTCATTGATTTATTGTTTAAGTATTGAATAGTTTGGCCACTAGTTCATTATCACTGACTTGTACAATTCACACATTTCAAATCTCATTGAGAAATTAATTCAGCTTTCATTTGTCTTTCATTGCTAGGATGCACACAGGCAAACACCAATCACTGCTGGATGTGTTTGTGAACGTGTTTATGTTTACCTGATAAAGAGTATGTTTATAAGGGCTAATCAGAATCCTCAAGTAGAGAGGGGCTGTGGGTGGGGGACTGGGTCGAGGTGGATGAGGGGCAGCCAAGCTTTGATAATGTTGATATTTAGCCAGTGTTCCCACAAAGCACTTTGTTTAGCCCTTATCGCCATCTGTTGTCATCTACCTGCCAAATTGCCTGGGTCCCTGAAATCAATTTCTATTCTTCAGGTTCTGATCCTGCAGTAGAGCGCACCTCTCTGACTGTGTTCCCTCTATGTCAGAACTTCAAAGCTGACAAAGGTGACGGCGACTGTGCTGCTGTGAACAGTCACCGCTGACATCTTGTCGTGTCGACCAACTTTTTTTTTTACTCCTAGGAGTAAAAGTGATGACCTGTCTCTGCCTCAGTGAAGCTCAACAATCGCCAAAGTCACACAGAGAGACAGTGACATGTCATACACCGTACGGTGTAGGTGACAGATTTAACCGCACAGATACGTCTGTTTTTGATGTTCTCATTTGAAGTTGCACTCAGTAGCGCTGCAGTGCATCAGTACAGAAATGGAGGTTGTGATGTTTCCACAGTTCTCTCTGATCCCTGGATGTTTGTGTCTGCACTCCTTCTTCTCTCTTTACATTCACCTCCTTTTCTCCCATCTTTCACCCTTTGCTCATTCACCTCTCACCTGTGTCCTTCTCCACCTCATTCCCTTCATTAAATTCTATCCTTCTGTCCTTCTCACCTCCTCGTCCCTGTCCTGCTGACTCCACCACCAGGCCGCGCCACTCTGTACGGCAAGTCCTCCCTGCGGATAGAGAACGTGCGTTCGGACGACCAGGGCTGGTATGAGTGTAAGGTGCTGATGCTGGAGCAGCACTACGACAGCTTCCACAACGGTAGCTGGGTGCATCTGACTGTCAATGGTAAGAAACCTTTATAGAACTGTATGTGTACTACAATGCATGCTGGGTGTATGCCTGTGCTGGTTGTGTGCTTGTGTGACTGTGGATACTGTTAATAGTAGTAAATATTTTTATACTTGAAATTGACTGTCATACTACCAGAAAAAAGGCCAAAATAAGAGTGAAAAACTGTCATTAGCAGTGGCATGTTACCGTTAACTGCAAAGATCTTTTTTGCTATGTAGTAATTTTAACAACTAGGCTAAAGGATATATTTAATAAAATGTTAAAACTCATCCGTTAAAGGTCCTTAAAAATGAAAATAGGGCCAATCTAATTTCTCAAGTTACCCCATCCTTTGTCCCTAACGCCTTGGCCTTTAGTTACAGTGGGTTGCAGGATAATGTGAAAAACATCTTTAATGACTTAAAATGCTGGTGGAAGTTTAAGCCTTTAACAGATCACAGATCAATTCTACATTGTATATTATTATTTTCATACAGCAATTCATTGGTCTAGAAATGTTGAACATCTTGCTGTTGTCCTACTGTAAATCATAGTAATATATTATTATAATAATAAATTGGATGTTCATACAGATAAATAAGTCAAATCATTAGTATAGCTGGGTTAAATACAAATGCAACGATCTCTGGTTTAGGAAATCTGGTTTGGTCATTTCATGTTATGCTTCTAATCTATATCATAAAGATATGAGTTAAAGTTGGTCACAAAGGTGACCCAGTCTCTGTAACCCACACAATGTCTGTATCACAGTCTAACGTAGTTTGAGCATTTATCAACTTTGTTAATTAGGCAGTATGAAATAACACAGGTTACTGTGGCAACAGCCACACCTCCAAACCCCACGTCCTCCCAGTGGTCACGGCACATTAGCTCAGTTTCACTGGCGTTGCTCCGGTTCTGTTTGACTCTGCTGCTCCTCTGCCTCCTGACTCCCAGAGGACCAGAGGATGGTTCGGATTTTAATGTCTGTCGCTCCTCCACCATCCTTTATTGTCTCTTTGCCACGGTGGAAATGACCCGCAGCATTTTAATAGGTTGTAAATCATAGAGCGGCATTTTATAAGAAACAGCTGACTGCATAGTTGATGTTAACTGTTCTCAGTGGTTATTCAGCTGCATGTGGGGTGAAGGGAATTTAAAATATGACAGAAAACATTTAGTTCAGTCATCACTGCTGCATTAGTTGGACAGATCGTCAGCTCACGACTTGACGACCTGTCGTTTTCTGTCGACAGGTCGTTGACAGGCAGGTCGTCGAAGGCAGTAAACTCTGATTTTATCATTTTCATTCATGCTTTGATTTTATTTTTTATTATTTTTTATTATTTTATTATTTATTATTATTTATTATTATTTTATTTTTAGCTTATGTGCTAACAGCTGCTGCAGCTGCTGAGGCGACAGCTGATTCACTCTCAGCCACTACAGCTCATGTGAATGTTGTTGAACACAGTTTTCAACAACCAAGCACATATTGCAATGACTTGTCCTCCAACAAAGTAACAAACAACCTGATGCACGGAGAACCGTTGTCTTAGCTGTGGTTAGCTGTTTGTATTAGCCTATATGCTAATAACTGGGCTATGGTGCATGAAGAACACAATTCATTTTCCATCCAAGAAAATTAACACATTATTGACCAAAAGTTATTGACAATGGACTCATTTTTAGCAGCAAAAGAGAAAAAAAAAATACATGGGTTTTCCTTCAGTTAGAAAAAAAATGTTATATCAAGAAAAAAAGCCTAAAGGTCCACATTATCTTTATTATAATGTAGGTGCATGGGAGATATAAGTATGCCATAGCGTTAAATTAGGTCAGGTTAAGCCACACACCAAGTTTCAACCCAGTGAGAAACAGACAGTCTATTTTAAACTAAATCTGTAAATGAATGTTCAGATAGAACTTTTCTGTAAATAGGAAGTCCTATTTTCCTTGGTTCCTGATGTTTTGTCATAGGAACTGTAACTGGTGAAACACCTTCAATGTGTTAAATTTGTAATTCTTTGTTGCTAATCAGTCCAGAAAATGTCCAGTAAGTAAAGTTAAGATTAAGGAGGCTCTGCTTCAGGGTAGTCAGTTTATTCCTTTGCTCCTAGTCTTACCCCAGACTCCCCCACTATGCAGTCCCCCATGCAGTGTGAGCTGATGTCAAAGATGCAAGGTCTTCAACCACTACCCCAAAAATAGCTTCAAGGCTTCCTGCTCACCGTCTCTGTATTCTGCTGCAGAACTCTGCAGTGACGGTGTGTTGCACAACAGCCCCACTTTTTCTTTTTCTCTCATACACCCAAAAAAGTAAAGTATGCGTAACCACCGGCCTCCACTTTCCACACGCAATTAAGTTAAAGCAACTACCCATTAATTTTTCAAGGCATGATATGGTACAACACTGAATATTATTATGTGAACATATCAATTTAAACATGCAGGAAATAGCTTGAATGCTGTACTACGAGTCCACATACAGTAGAATATCAAACTCACAGCATTGCAACAGTAGAGTTGTCACAGGATTTTAATGTTCGCTTTGAAATCTTGTCAGATGTACTTAGCTGTGTTGGAAAGAATGGAGGACGGAATGGCAATAATAGAGGTATATTTTGAGGACATACATGTTTTTCTTGATGTTCTTTCAAACCATCATGACATTAACATGTCCCTCAGAACCCTGAAAGTTTCTGTGTTTTCTGCAATGTTGTTGTGTTTTGACCTTCAGCTTTCAACAACAGAGCAAACACATCATCATTACTCGGAATGTCATAAAAATATTTTTTTAAAAGCTATCATTATCATGTGAAACACCAACTGTTGTACACAGCTTTGTTCTATTTCAAGCCCAGGGCTGGATCCACAGACATCCAGGTAATGTGTCATTTTGACACATTGCCTAAATACATCGATTTGATGATTGCGAGTGTAATGAGGGCACTTTTTAATTTTATTGTGCAGTTTAGTTTTGCCTTCTTATCCACTGAATTATTCCTAATGTCGCTTCATGCAACAGATTTCTTTTCAGTAGTAGATATATTAGTTAAATGGCTTTTACTAATCTGGAGTTAATTGATTCATAGTAAATATAATAAACAAATACATGTACTAAAATATACAGACATAAAAATACTACACATAAAGGACTAAGGCAGAAACTACTGCTGAATGTGCATGCAGGCGCTAAAGCACAACAACAAAGTGTTAGCGGCTCACGACAACTTAATAACATAATGAACGTGCCTTAAAACAGAGTACTGTAAATTTGCAACACTATTTCTGAAGATGAGTCTGAAGGGAGTTTGTCGAGTGTCACAAAATCTGACATTAAACTTGTGCTAAATCCTATATAATTTTATTCTTTGCTGGAACATCAAGTGAAAAAGGAGCAGAGAAAGTGTATGTATTTGTAACACATCTGTGGTCACACAGTTCTTCCTCTTTGTTTTATCTCTCTGTACCTGCCCACTTGTGGGGCACCATGGTTCTTCCTCCACGTCGAACAACTGACTATTGTAAAAATGATTTAAACCGTTAGAGCTGCAATCAGAAATATTGATCTTGGGGATCCCAGCTGTCTGTCTTTAGCTCCTCTCATCAGCTGAGCATTGACAGATACATTTGTTTCTTAAGCACTGTTACGGGACAGTCTCTCAGTCTCTGAGGTTCTTTGCCACTCTGGACAAACCTGCCTGTTGCCTAATTTTGACCTGAAAATATCTTTCCCAATTCCTTAATCTATTATTTCTTTATTTAATAAAAGGAGCCAGAATGTCAGGTTAGCAGATGACTTCAATGTACTTTGGCCTATTTTGGAGAAAAAGCATGTTTTAATCTCACCTTTTAAACCAAATCAGCCCTTTTTTTATATTGACTTTCCTTGTTCAATACTAAATCTGCTACAGTCTTGTTCAATTTCTTTCTCTCTAACGGCCACTGTCTACTCTGATCCTTCAGCTCCTCCGTCCTTCAAGGAAACGCCACCTCTGTATGTGGAGGCCAAGGAGACGGGGAGCATCACACTGACCTGTACAGCTTTTGGCAACCCCAAACCCTCTGTCAGCTGGCTGCGGGAAGGCACTGTCATGGTCAGCAGTGCCAAGTATAAGGTAGGCTGACTGTAAGTGGTAATGACCGTAATTAAAACTCTTAATTATACCTTCTCGTTATAATATATGGTGGTCCTGTAAAGCGCCGTGTTGCTGCTTTAACTCATCTGAGCCTTACACTGGTGTTTACTGCAGCTTTTAAATAAAACCTCCTTTCCTTATGCTGGTGTGTGAGGCAAATAGCTGAGGCACCACATATACAGAGGAATGATGAACAAGGGAAAACAACAACAGAGAACTAGAAAACAACTTCTAATGAGGCGAACACAAGAGGTAAAAAACCAAACAAACAACAAAATCAGACGTCTCAGCGAATAGAAGCAGTTTTGTCAACACAGCAGTCAATGGGGAAGCCCTGCAGCAGGAGAGGCTGAGTGCAGCCAGCAGTGCACTGTAATGATGGGAGCAACAACTGTGACTGAAGTACAGCTGTGGTGAAAGAACTATTTCTACATTGTTTTCTTCTTTTGTACAGTATATAATAATTAGCCTCGCTGCAAAGGAAAGGCTTGGTTCTGTCAAGCTGTATGTACTCAGTGGCAGTGCTAAAAAATAAGTATAAATATGCACATGTAGTTGTAGTAACACTTGAATCTGTGTTACAGTACAACTACCATGACACGGCCTAATACATGAAGATTTTTACAGGGTTTTGGCAAAGTGTTAGTTCTTACAGGTTTAAGCCTTTGGCTGTATTATGGTTTATTTTAAACACCTACAACTTGCACTAATGGCATTAATTGTTAAGTGTTTTACCCCACCGCCTCCTCTCATTACTACAAACAAGAACCAAAAGTAACTACTTTTTTTATTTTCTTCAAAATGTCACAGGACGGTTTTATTCCAACTTGAAGTTAAATTGTAGCTAAAACAGTCCCAAAACAGCCTTAAGTCAAAATTATAAATTTGATGGGAATGTTAACTAAGTGATCTCAATGGTGCCGAGAAAAACTCAGTCTGAAGAAGCTTTAAAAAAAGATAACAAATAAAGCGTTTTTTAAAGGCTAAGAAATAAAAATAACTTGTACAAAAACATGTACTACAATTTTTTTAAATATTTAAAAGTAATGATAGCAGTAAAATTTAGTGTTTGTCACTTATAACATTACATGTATACACACCCCATATTCAGCAGGTGTCTCAGACATCTGGCTCAGGGCCCATTCCCAGGACTATGAACCCCCACATCTGGCCCATGACCAGATGTTAATAACAATTTAATCTTGCCTTTGGACTTTTTAAAATGTATTTAATTATTTTTTAATTTTCAAGTCTTTCAATTTATCTTTCTCATATAGGAATGAGAAAATAAACATTTGGACCAGCTTTTTGCACTGTGGTATTATGCAACATTATGCAAAATATATTAATAAAACATCTGGGTTTTTTTTTTATTTGTTTGTTTTAAATCATCGAACACTAACGTTTCTCTCGACTGACGTGGTAGTGGCTTTCAGCCTATTTGAGTTTGAGACCCCAGATATGCAATATATACAGTCATGTTTTTTTTTCACCAATTCATTTTAATGTCAGTGTCTTTAAACAATGCCATTTTTGTTCAGGTGTCTGATGGGAGTTTGACGGTGCTATCCATTACACGGGAGGATCGAGGGGCTTACTCATGTAGAGCCTTCAGTCCTCAGGGAGAGGCCATTCACACCACACGGCTGCTAGTACAAGGTGGGTCCCTTATTTTAAACTCCAGGTCTGACTAACCTCAGTTCACATAGATGGCTGGAGCTGTCTGTTCTTGTCCATGGAGCAGCTGGTAACATTGGCAAAAACTGGCTACCCCAGAAAACGAAAATAAAATAAATATTATGGACTACGACATATTGTGTCCCAATAGTGATTTAGCATTGAAGAACTAAAACAATTGTCCTAATATCTGAAGAGCACAGTCAATGTCAGTGGGTGAACCTCAAGACAAAGAGCTTCTAAAACCCTGGAACAGTTCCCTTAATTCACTCGTGTGATTATTCTACCATAACTTTGAAGGAAACAATGAAGGTTTAGCGTTATTCAAAAGACAATGTATCTCCCCGTTAGTGTGAAACAGCCGCAGTAAAAAAAGATCCCCCCAGTGAGCCATCACATCAGTGTGTGTTCTACTATATAAGAGATGTGTGATGCAGCAGGGTAATCATTTGGGGACCATTAAAACTGCGTTTAGCAGGGACATTTAAAACTATCTGGAGCTCAACAATCATAGTGCTGCAAACACAGTGCATTAGTTAAAATGCCTGATGAAATGTTTGTTTCTGTAAACAACACGACTGCTCTGTATCGAGATTGTTGTTGTCTGGAATGTGACAGAACATGCACTGACAAAGTAGCCAGTTTTGGTGCTTGGTTGAAATATTCGCTCTAAGCTGTCGAGCCTGTTTGCAAAAGCAGTCCCCAAGCCCACAATGTTATGAATGTGTAAATACTTTTTTTTTAAATTATTTTTAAACTTGCTCTCATTAGCTTTATGCTACATGGAAATGTTTCACTTAAACAAATGGTTGCATAAATCACGAAGCAGACTTTGACCATGCTGACTGAGATCACATTTCTCATTCATTGGCACTGCACTAAAGCAGTGCCGAGCCAGAGTGCCTGTTTGACCCGTCCTGTATAATTTACGGCTGAGGCAAATTAATAAAGGCCCTCCGCTGAGCAGCAGATCAGCTCAGAGACCAGTGTGCCAACAAAGCTCCAGCACTCAGCTTGTCCCAAATAGGAGAGGTTGGCACACAGACATACACAGTCAGACGCAAACACACACACATCAATGACACAGTCATCCAACACGGGCCTAGACATGGCTGTCCTGTTAAAGTGCTGGCAGATGGAAATACTCAGTTTAGGGATCAGACTGTGGGCCATATATCAGGATTAAACCAGGGAAAACATATGCAACAAACAGGTTGTGTTTGCTTTAGCAGCTTACGTCGTCCATGCCCGTGTCTAAGTGTAGACGTTTGTGTGTTTCTGACTGTTTTACATCAGTTTGTCTCCATAAGTACCAGCCTCTTCTAACTCACAGCTGGGTGTCAGTGGAAAGTGTCTGTGTTCTGATCTGACAGTCTGAACAGTTTGGTTCCATCTCTGTATTTGAATGCTGATATCAGTTCAAAGTAAGATGAAAAATGTATCAAGTTTATTTTTGTGTGTGTAGAATGACGGTGTTGCTCGTATAAAGCCGTAGTTTTAGACACCCGTGCCCAGTCTCCTCTGTGTCATTTGTGTCATCCATTTTCAATATGTGCTTTTTAAAGTGTTATTTTTATACACTTTGAACCATATACATTAAGTGCTGCTCTCAAATAAATCCAGGCAAATACTATATGTGTGGTAAGTGTCTTAAAGCAGATTAAGATAAAAAAAAAAAAGCTGTTTTCAACTTCCAGACCAAACAGCAGTGTTACTGCTACTGTCGTGGTCAGCGATATGGAACGACTACAAATCAGGGATCCTGGTGTAAATGTTTCCTTGTAAGCCAGAGGGATTATCCATCTGGCACGGCAAGGATCAAATTCAATTAAATCACCTAATCCTTTATTGAGTGCAAAGTATGTATGAAGTATGAGTTTGATGACCACAAAGATTCTGGGTTTGCTGCTGTCAATGCTCCCCAATGATGGATCAATAAAATCTAATCTAATCTAAGTGACTGTTATTAGAGAGTCACAGTTCCACACAGCAGTGGGTGCTCTGCACTATAATATACAGACCATGGTTCTGTACACTTACCACTTATATTAAATTGTTGCGTATTTCCCACAGGCCCGCCATTCATCGTGGCACCGCCAGTGAACATCACAGTGAACATCTCGCAAGACGCCTTCTTCACTTGCCAGGCGGAGGCCTACCCCCGCAACCTGACCTACACCTGGTTCTGGGAGGAGGACAATGTCTTCTTCAAGAAGTAAAGTTATGATCGGGTTCATTATCGCCTGCCATCTGATCACATCTAGAATTTGCTATCTATATTTGTACTGAACATTCTATCAAAACATCCAGGACACAGTTAAGATATTCCACAGACCATATGGCCTACTGTAAATACCCCCTACCTTTCACCCTTTATATATGTACCATTCATCCTTTGTTGATGTGGAGCTAATCTATATTTTTCGAGGCAAAAAAACCCCATCATGGTCATGTCTCTTGTCTATTGAGACAGACAAAGATTCAGGGTCATCCGGTCACTCGGAGGCAGAGTCCACAGTTCGGCCTTGGTTTGAACTCATGACCCTCTTGTTACAGTCCTCAGTGCACAAAAAAGCTCCCTGCGAGCAGACGAAGCATATCAGACATGATGTACAGTGCTGGTGATGTGCAGAAATCATAGTCACTAGGCACATCTCACTGACATCCCCCCGTGTTGCCAACAGTCATGTCGTTTCACTGCTGATGCTCTGAAGCCGTTGGGACAGATGAAATCCACTTGTCGATTTTTTATTCTTTAGCAAGAGTTTTGCCTAAAGCTCTGAGTTCATGTTGCATTAGGTTACATCCACACCAGCCATAGTTTCACAATGGACAAACCAAGATGTTAGGATTTCTACCCTTTATATCTGTTTTAGTTTAGCCTCTAATGTCCGATTTCTACCCTTTATATCTGTTTTAGTCTTTAATGTCTGTCGGGATTTATTAACATCTGACATCATCTAAAATTAGTAACACAACAGCTTTTGTCGTCAACAAAGCTCCTGATGTGAAGACATCAAAAATCTGATCAAACCAGTTATTTGTAGTTACTGGCAATCTAGCCTCATTCAAACACTAGTAAAAACACTCTTATATTTGTATTTGTTCTACTGAAACTCTGATCATGCACGTTGTCCCTTGAAGCCACAGTGGGCAGGTTGATGGACAATAAACGTTGTTCTTTATGGCTCCCGTCGGTGCCCATATTCTATGCTGAGATCCACCAGATGTATTATCTTTAAACCGTGTAATTAATTCTTGCTGCTTATCTGCAGTGTATTAGTCATACTGTGTTAGTTATTTAACTGAAGACAAGCATTTTAAAGGTAATTAGTGTTAAAATGTAGGCTCTCAATTACAAAAAAAGAACATGGCTGAAAGCCTTCATTATGGCTAATGATAAAATCAGATGCGCCTCAAGAAACCTCAGCTTAAAAAGTTATTTAAATTATTATTCTTTATTCTTTAATTCTCTTTGTGTGAATGTTAGTCATAAAATTTGTTTGTGCCAGTCTGTCAGGAAATATCATACCCATACACTTAAACCATTGTCTTTAGTGCAACTGCACTACACAGTACACTAGTCACTTTCCTCTGACCTGAAGCAAAGACCTTCACTCTCTGTTAGCTGCAACATCTGAGAATCCTTTTTATTCCAGATGCATTTCCTCCACTCTTCTTAGGCATTACACAGATTGAACCTGCATTTCAATTGGGAACAATGATGATCTTTGTCTTAAAAAAAACATATTTTTCGTTGTTCATATTCTGATATGGAGTGGGCAGTGGAATGCAAAATATCAGTTGCCTTGACTACTACAAGTGGCCTTCACCAATCAGCAAATCTGAATTTCAGAGCCTGCCTGACAATCATTCCCAATTCTCTCATTGCAAATCAAAACATACAGATGTTGTCAAGAGATCAGCATCAGTTTGTGATGTGCACTAAAGTTGCATTTCACTTACCAAACACAGATAAATCAAGTTGTTATTTGAAAGGAAAACAGAACAGTAGCATTAGCTAAGTACCATACTAGTAGATTGTGTTGTAGTCTGTAGTCTGTGGATTAACCGTGTTGTACATGTTGCAGTGAGTTGCCTGAAACCTTTTATACTGCAAGAAGCTTCTGTTGTACTTATTGGATCAAGTTTTTTTCTCACCCAAACGCAGTTTTAAAAGTGAGATCTGCACAAATTTTGTCATCATTTTTTATTACATATTTCATCACCCACAGAGAGAGTAAACAAGACGGCCATTAAAAATAACGCCACACACATTTCTTCTGCTGCTACATGTTTCCAAACCGTACCATTTCCGTCTTGATAGTTTTACTCAGCCCAGACACTGTGGCCCAGCAGATGGCATCTGTCACTCCATAAAAGGCATTTTATTTGTGATCAGTGCATGCCGATGACACAGTGTGTATAATTTTACTGTGCTCTCTGCAGTAAAAGACATGGTTCATAAATGTGGACTCTGTGTTCACTTACGTTTTATCTGTGTCCTCCCCATGTTGATTTAAAGACTAAATCTGCTTGGCCTGTTTTTTTGTTTTTTTTTTAGCTTGTCCACACTCTTACATCTGTGAGACATAGATATTGAGAGTTTATAAGATATGCCTACTTGAAGACTTGTTCTTAGCTTCATATAAAAACACCTCAGTTATTTTTTGTTTAAGTTTAAAGAAAAATGTAACTTCTTTTGAGATAAACTACTTTTAAATTCAATATCGGTCTTTATAGAGTAGTGATTCCTAACTATTCGTAGTATGGCGCCAAGATCACCGGGTGGGTTAAAAAAAAAGCTCAGATAAATGTAACACAGTTCAACACGCTACAAATATGTCAACAAAACTTGTCAAAGCTGTAAGAGACACCTGAGAGACATGTCTTCACACGTTACAACTTAACTAGTTTCAACCTACAGACCAGATACAGTTTATAGATGAAACAGTGTTTTCCCATGTTGTGATTACAACAAATCAGGTTTTAAATTTAACTTGCGTTCATCTTCACAGTGACCTCAAGCGCAGAGTCAGTATTCTCATCGACGGTTCCCTTATCATTGCCCAAGTTAAGCCGGAGGATGCTGGGAAATACACCTGTGCACCTAGCAACAGCCTGGGCCAACCACCGACTGCCTCTGCCTACCTGATAGTGCAATGTGAGTGTCCTGCTTTTTGTTATTTTGTTCTGTTAACTGGGAATAGTTTTCAATTTTTTTGTTCCTTGTGAATAATTTTCTGTTTTCTGTGTCCACACCAAGGATGTCTGCACTCGACTGTGTTGTAGTGTTTGGTTGTGGTAGTGGTTGTAGTTCTATTCACTAATGTCATCATTGAGTCAGATATGGCCATATTTTCCCAAAAAACATTTATTAGTATGAAGTTACATCTGAAACAAGCTTTCTTTAAGGGCGTCTTATGTTAGGTCTGACATTACTGTTGATCGTAAGCAGTTGAAGCTGGAGACGTTAAATCTTCCTTCTGCCTCGTGCGATTGCTCGGGACCTCCTCTCTGATACCCATCCCTCTTTGTTTAAATTTTTCATACGTATGCTTTCAGCATCAGTCACAGCTGTGGACAGATGAGGCTTAGTGAATCTGTCACACTCATGACATGCAGGAGCTGGACCGGTTCTGATTCCAGCCTCATCAACTGGTGACCGGCCAGCGGCAGTAGTCAAGGCAACAGACATTTTGCATTCCCTCGCTCTCCTGCCTCCTTCGACAGCTGTACATTAGGCTGTGTGTGCGGGTGTGTTTGTGTGTGCGTGACGTGCAAAGGAAGGCAACACCAGTGGTGAGGGGGAGGGAGAAGTGAGTGGAGGGATTACATCATTGCTGTTGGAGTGGGGACTTTTCTGTCAGGCTGCAGAGGGCTCTCTCACTCTGCTCTATTCTTCTGTCTTATTCCTCCCGCACCCCCTTTGTTCCTCCTTCCCCTCGTCAACCTTCCCTAACCATCCTCAAAATCGGCTCTGCTTCTATTGTTTCACACCCGTTTTCTACAATCTGCATCCCCCCTACTCCATACTTTTATTTCACTCTGTCCTCCCTCTGTCTCCCCCCCCCCGCCCCTCAAAGTGCTTGCCAGTTAATAAGTTCCCTGAAGCATTTTGCAGGGGAAACCAGAGTGTTGTGAGCGATAGCATTGTCTGAGGGCTATTTTTAGAAACTTGGCTGATACTTTGGTCTGTAATGCTAGTGCGGTGCTCCTCTGGGCTCTTTGTGGCAGAGCGCCGGCAGCCTGGTGGTTAGGACAGCAGTTGTAGTTTTAAGGTGTTCTGGCAACACTGAGGTCAATCGATATTTCTGTCTCTGACACTCATTCTCACCATGTCACACAGTCACTCTCCCTCTCTCACTCTTCCCCTCTCTCATTCTCTCTCTCGCAGTCTTTCTCTTATCACTCCATTTTAATGTCAAATGAACGGCGCTGGCGTGTGTCACTAACTTCACAGTCACACTAGCTCATCCTCTCTCTCTCTTCCAGCAGCAGCAGCAGCAGCAGCAGCAGCAGCCTCTCTCTGCCTTACGTCATCTAGTCACATCTTCTCTTCTCCCTCTCTCCCTCTCTCTCTCCCTCTCTCTCTCTCTCCCCATCCCACTCTGTCACCTGTCTTTTTCTCACACTCGTGCTCAGCCTTGCCCGTCCTCCCGTTCCACTGATAGAGCTCTCTTCATTTTCATCCCCCTTTCTCCTCCTTATCACTCTCAGCTCTCCTCCATGACCTTGTTTAAGCTCCATACTGAGAAATTTAAACTTGTGATGTTTAGGTTTTTTTTTTTTCGTGGCACAGCTTAACTGAATCTATCAGAAGCATAGAGTGACGTTCATGTTCCTGTGTTTGCAGCTTCACTGTACTGCATTTGTTTTAATGTAGGACACAATGTGGGGAGGGGCGGGGGTGACAGGATGTCACTTGTGGTTTTTCACACTGTCAATGAAAATGACATAAGGAAGTTCAACTTAATGGTTTTGAGATACATACATATAATTAGGACAAATCCTCAATTTTGGACCAGATTTTGTGAAAAATGTTGTGCAATTGGAAACTTAACTCCATGCTACAGAGTCTAATATTGAAGGTCCGTTTGGTCATGCCCTGATATCAAGTGAGGTCAGTCGTCCTGCAGTTTAGGAAGGAAAGTGACATTGTACACAACCAAATGTGACCTCTGCATTTAACCCATCACCAAAGTGATGAGTGTGGATTCAAACCTGCAACCTTCCGGACCCAAGTCTGCTTCCTTAACTAAGCCACCACTGCCCCTTTACCTACTGACTGCTATAGTATTTTATGGAGTTTGTTATTATCTTGTGAAGAATTGTGATACAGTATACAGTAGATGGGACTGTACTGTCACCGCACACAGTCATTAAATCTGGCCGTATTGTCACTTGATCTTTTGAAAATCCTCAGTATGCTGTCAGTTACACACTGCTGATCACTTAGTTTCAGTGGAAAAGCACACCTGATGTGGTGGTGTGTACTCTGCTTCTGCAAACACGCACACAAATGCTGCTGTGAGACCAGCTGTGCTGCACAAAGATTCATTCATCATTTTATGATGAGCCCTCTCTCCATAAACTATGTGCATTCCCAGACTTTAGTAAACCGTTATTCTAACCTGAGAGCCCCAGACTCCCCCCTGCTGCAGAGACAGGGTTTACCACTAACTTTTCTCTCCGGGCTCCTAACCAGATCCTGCCCGTGTGGTGAACATGCCATCTGTCATCTACGTGGCCATTGGTTTGCCTGGCTTCATCCGCTGTCCTGTCGATGCCAACCCCTCTGTAACTCTGGTTAAATGGAAGAAGGATGGCCTCCCTCTACGGATAGAAAAGGTCAGCCGCGCTCTGACAGAGTGCTCTTTTTTTTTGTATTGAGATGAAAAATAGCACTGCTCTAAAAATGTATTAACGTGTATCTTATGTCATTAACACAGCTTTTGTCTTTGATGGCCTGTATTAACATTTCTTAAACAATTCCTCCTCCAAAGTACCCTGGTTGGAGCCAAATGGATGACGGAAGCATCCGTGTGGCAGAGGTGACAGAGGACTCTCTCGGCACCTATTCCTGCATGCCTTACAATGCCTTGGGTTCCATGGGATGGTCCCCTCCTGCTCCCCTGGTGCTAAAGGTTTGTATCCCAAATACTTTTTTATGCTGAATAATAATAAAAAAGCTCTTGTTTTAACCAGTTAGAAACAGTTCCCAGGTGCAGCTCGGCATCTTGCGCCGTAACTAATGTTTTCTTTGAAACTGGACAGGACCCTCCCAAATTTTCAGTGGTTCCTGGAGGGGAGTACAGGCAGGAGGTTGGGAGAGAACTTGTTATCCCCTGTGAGGCGGAGGGAGACCCTTTCCCTAACATCACATGGCGGAAGGTATGCTTTAAAAATGCCTCATTTCTTGTGCCAGTCTTCCAGTCTTCTGTACATAAGAGAACGTTACATATTCTAATGAGTGCATTTTTAAAAAACAATATGATGAACCTTTTCTATTTCACTCTCTTGGGGATTTTATTCAAATGTTATTGCCCACCTTTCTGTGTAATTAGATGCGTTGATGGTTGTTGTTGTACAAGTGAGAGCTATTGTAATAGGCTCGTAGTGGACTCTTTCACAGGTGTGAGTTTTACTGCTGCAGCTGCAAATTGAATATTGAAAACCCTCTCACATCGGCTGACTGTGTATTTGATGGCCCGCAGGTGGGGAAGCCCAGCAAAAGCAAGCACAATGTTCTGCCCCGTGGCAGCTTACAGTTCAAATCACTCACCAAGGAGGACCACGGGGAGTGGGAGTGTGTCGCCACCAATGTCGCTACGAGCATCACTGCCAGCACGCACGTTCAAGTCATAGGTATGTTACATGTACTTCACTGCAAACAAACGGCATACATTTGATCCATTTACTAAGGTGGACCCTAACCCTAAATTCAAAAAAGGACACCCATGTGTCCTCACACTCAAATGCTTCACTTTAGCTCAATTGCATTGTTATAATATTTTACTGCTGTACCAATGAAAATGCACTGCTAAATTGCCTTAAATACATTTAAGAGATTATTGCATTATTTCACAGTTTTAGGGACAGATTTGTTTCACTGTCCCTTGTAACTCTTTTCCAAGAAGCAAAGTAGGAGGAATGGGATAAGTATGTGGGACAAAATGTAAAATTGGGTTTAGCCACAGAGCACAAAGTGGCCAAACAAATGACTTCTAGGCCTCTCTTTGTTAAACAAATGCAGGTATTGATCAGTGGCTCGACTTTACCCTTTCAAGCTAGCTGCCTGTTCTCAGTAATTAGGGAAACAATAATTCAGTTGTCTCCAAAAGAAGAAACTTTACACCCTCCTAGAGCAATTACTTAGTTTCAGTTTTTTTCCAAATATTGTTAAGTGCACAATAATGGTGTTAAGCACTTAACTGTGAACTGTGTTGGAATTAAAAACTGGAATTCATCCTGCCAATAAAGCCAAAGGGTTTGAACTTGAGCAACAGCTTAGCTGAGTAAATACTCTGAATGGAAAGAAACAAGCCTGTACATACAGGACTAGGGTATTGTCTGTAAATAGTAATTACATGGACAGAGGTTTGAAAGAAAACAAGACAGAAGAGATATCGTGTTGGAATCAAGGCCAGCAGTGAACAAAAATGCTGACCCGCTTTTCAGGTGAGTTATGGAGACAGTGCAGAGCTGAGAGTGTGAGACTGTTTCCTGTTCCATTACAACAGTGTATCCCACTTCAGTCCACTCCGAACCCTGTGGAGAACTCTCCCATTCACAGAATTGATACTGGTGCACCAGTCTCTGCTCTGTCTGGGGTTTATGTATTTTGTGAATAAGTAACAAATATGGATGGAAGTTGTAAAACTGTATTTTTGCATTGGATAGTACTTGGTGATCAAAATGAAAATCCTCTCAGCAGTTCTTCAACTTTTAACTAAGTCAATTATCAAGCACTTCTAACTGAACAGAAATTGTTTTAAGAAAGTTATAAGATATCAAAAACAGTTCAGAGATGCAGAGAAGTGTGTGTATACGTGTGTGTATCTTCCAACAGTGATCAGCAGTGACCAGTCCACATCTGTTCCTCCCCATAGGCACAAGCCCCCACGCCCCCACTGGCATCCGTGTGGCGGCTTCCTCCATCTGGGCCAACGTGTCCTGGGTGGTGGGCTACGATGGAGGATTCCAACAGACATTCTCAGTCTGGTATGGCCATGTGTGAGTCATCTCAGCATGCTTTGCTTTCTGCTTTTTTCTTCTTCCAAATCTACCTCTGTTGTTTCGTAAAGACCTCTTTTTCAGGGTTGTGTTCAGAACAGTTGTGGATAAGAGTGACGTTTCACCACTGATGGCTAAAGAAAAGAACCCAACAGAACTGAACATGACCCCAGAGCATTTTGTCCTGCTGCTGCTGCTGCTGCTGCTGCTGCTGCTGCTGCTGCTTTGCTGTTGCTTGGCTGAGTCTGTAATATTTTAAAATCTTTGATTTTACTATGAAATCTTCCTGTTAATGTGACCCTAGTTTGGTGAAAAGCAGATATTCAAAAATTCTAACAAGCTCTGAAATGAAACGTTAATATAATGAACCACAAATAAAGTACATTAGCCATAGGTGCCGTTTCATAGTTGCCAAATGCATGCATTTCTATACTGATATTTTTGTGTAAGAAATTTTGCAGCCATACTTTTTAGTGTTTCAAGTGCCATAATATTCTATCAATCTCCACATTCTCAACATATCAATTGTATGAGGAAACATGTGAACACTTTTATTCCTCAAACAAATGATAAATGAGGGAGCCTTTCAGTTTCTGTGTTTGTCAATTTGCAGAATTTTTTTTGCAATTTTAGCCCCCACTGCTCTTCGCTCCTTCGCCAGCAAAATTGACTTAAGTTTTGTAGAACTAAGGAATCCTACTATGAAGTTATGTCCTGTCAAGTGCAAATCCTACGGTGTTTGCTGCTGACGACACATTGAGAGACAAGACCCACAGTGTTTGGAAGAACTCCGAAAGATTTCTACGAACGACCAACTCACTGTGAAAACAAACCTGCAGGGCTGCAGCTATCATTTCTCTGCTATGTGTCTCTGATTTCAGAGCGGGTTTTACGAAGGTTTGTAGCACAAATGGCGACCACTACACCACAGATAGATGATAATATCACAGCACGTGATGCAACAGTACAAAATATCAGATCTGTGATCGTTAACCTTGTTGAACTGAGTGAGAAATGAAGACTAACTAACTGCCAATTTGTTTCATTATTAGTTTTGGTGAAACGCCAAAGAGATTTTTGACCATTGTTGATACAGGCAATATTTTTAGCTTTTGTATTTTTAATTTTACCTGTTCTTTCCATTGAGGGATGGAAACGTTAGATCAAACTGTGTCACCTGAGATCAGGCCATGTCTTGTTGCTCAGCTCTTTCATTCATTTAAATCAGTCATAATTATCTTCATCAGCAATGTTTTGTATTCCAACATACTACGGTACAGCATAAATTGTTTGTAATCATTGCTATCTTTATTACAGCGCCGCTCTGCACGGTCACTGTAAGTCATGGGCAGCTGTTGCATGTGAACGGTTTCTGCTTCATTGGCTTTTCAGTTGCAGTCTGAATGTGTGGCACCAGCTAACGGTACAGCTGATCTAATGTGCGAACCTGTGGTGGTAATGGTGACGATGGTGCTGGGAAAGGGAACAACCTTGTTTCTTTTTTTTTATGTCGTTAAAATGAAGGCAGCTTTGACCAAGGCCATCTAATTAGTCTCTGTCACTCCCCGGGTGTCCACTCACCTGTTCTCCTGTCGTCTGTGCAGGCTGAAGAGGGAGCATTTAGGTCCACATGACTGGCAGTCCATAGCCGTGCCTGGAGGCCATGACTGGATGCTGGTACCTGGTTTGGAGCCAGAGACAACATACCAGTTCAGTGTACTGGCCCAAAACAAGCTTGGCACAGGACCCTTCAGCGAGGTTGTCACTGTGAACACACTAGGTGAGTGCAGTCGCTGTGGCTTGACCTTGACAGAAATGTAGAGTAATATAATAAGAGTAATTTATGATCTTTGCCAGCCTTACAAATAGGATAAAGCCGAGAGTTTGGTAAAACTAGGACAAAAAAAAAATCATTATTATTTCACTGGTTACGGTTTTATATAAGTCTTTGTGTGCCCCGCAAGAAAGTCTAGTAGGACTGAGTTCTGTTTTGCGAATAAAAAAGGCACCGCAGAATTTTCATGGTTTTACAGTATCATAATTTCCACAATTATTTAAATAAAACACCAGCTCATCAAACATTTACTGCATGAACTTCACGATCTGAAAAAAAATTACTGTAGTGTTTCAGTGATTAAATAAAAGTAAAGTCATTTTGAAAAGTTCTGTTGTAAATGGTGTCTAACAAGTGTTGCATGCAATAAATTCTGGAAAGTCCTAATGACACCAGGCCGAAGAACTAAACTTAGCTCTGAATCTATCTGCAAATTCTCTGCTCCGTTTTGAAATAAACTCAAAAAGTTTGAGCTGTAGAAAATCAACTGTGTATTTATTCAGAACAAACCAGTGTTTCCCAACTGGTTTGAGCTCTGGCCCATATTTTAAATTAGGATAATTCCTACCAAAAAGTAAATGTAATGAATATAATGATCCTTAAACCTTGGCCTGTTTAGTTGACCATGACTCTGATATACACACAGGAATTGAAGAAAGACAGATCTTCTTCAACAGCTATGATTTTCTTCCTTGTTTATAGCTGTACGCTGCTACCTAGTAGAAGAGTATTACATTGGTTTCATGTCACGGTTACATTAATGAATGAATCCAAATTGCAAAAGAAATAAAAAATCTCGACTCATTTAAAGAAACTTGTGAGACATTTGAAATACCCAGCTGTGTTCTCCAATAGTTTAAAGCTCAGCCTATATCTGCTGTTAGTTGCATTTTTTTTGCCAATATTTCTGTCTTAAACTCCTTTTTAAAGATTAAATATCCCCAGCACCGTCAAGAATCTACTTTCTCAAATTGAATGTCCTCATCAGCCATTAGCAGTTTTAAGGAGGCCAGAGCCACAGCTACAGGTCCAGGATACGGTAGGAAAGTGTAGAAATCAGCTGTTATTGTGAGTAACAGCAACATTTGTAGTCAGCAGGTTTAGTTCCACGGTCCAGTGGCTCCAACAGAACTCAAATTCTGCAGCCAGACAGACGGTCCTAGAACCAAAGGCTTGATAACAAGATACACAGACAGTTAGATTTGTCTCTTTAGTCTTTTATTATACTGTCTCTCTTTCAGCCACAAATGTTTTTTTAATGAAACAAACATAAGGGATCACACAGCATATTGCACTCATCAGTAATAGTTTGAAATGTAATGTACTTTTTTCTAAAAACTGCTGGTTGGCAGTTGTAAACGAGCGGCCTCAAACTCGCACAAGGACATCATTTCGACCACTACATTTGGACAGGAAAACAAATGACCCTCAGCTCCTTTACAATTAAAGTGCTGTACATAAACCTATCTCTGAAAATATACTTACAACTGTCATAACCCACTCCATGAAATCAACAGCCCAGCACCTATGGTAATGCAGGTTGTTAGACGCCTGTTTGTTCACCCCTGTCTGTTATCAATGAGCTGTGATGAGCTCAATACACCAAGTCCTGTCTCCTGCTTTAACTGGTAATAATCAGAACCCCTAATGTATCATGTTAAATTTAAATTAATTGAACTTGAAGAAATGCGGGAAATATCACTGCCGTGTTTCCATCTGTATCAGCCATGTGCACCTCACACTCTTTTTCCACCCTGACGTGTTCTTTCAGTATTTCCTATAAGTACCCCTGAACCATTGGTGCTGCTTACCCCACCACGGTGCCTCACAGCCAATCGCACGCAGCAGGGAGTCCTGCTCACTTGGATCCCACCTGCCAATCACACAGCACCTATCCAGCATTATATCATGGAGTTTCGACTGGGGGAGAGATGGGAGGTCTTGGACGACAGCATTTCTGCTGGGGAGACGGAGTTGCTGGCCCGAGACCTCATCCAGGTAGAACACAGAACACAGCAGGGATTTAACACTGTGTGCTCGTAGTTAGCCCAGGGGGATGAGAGAGTCAAACCCTACTTGGTTCTACTGCTTTAACAAAATACAGTAGGCCAATTCTAAAGTTCTAAAACTTTGTATTGAACACAGTGATGTTCTTGTATGTTTAATGAGGACAAAAACATATGGTTCTGTAACATTATCTGGACACATCTATTAAAACTTGGTTAAAACCCCCCCGAAAAAACAGAACAAGGTTCCATCATATAAACGTTGTTACACTCCTGAGACTGAAGTAAACGTTGAATGCGTTCATCTAAATATACCAGGTCAGATTAATCTTATCTTTATATTTATAGCATTTTTATAATGTGCTGCTGTCCCACCTTGGTTGTCATAGTAACAGTTGCAGGTGGCTACAACCTGACTGAGTAATTATACTGCTGGAAATTTTTCTTATTCTAACTTTTAAAATCTACAAACTCAAAGATACAAACTGCCCAGAGCAAGTGTTCAAAATTGGATTCTAGAAAAAAAAAGTCTACTAACATTTCATGTCAAAGAGTTGTTTTTACAACAGAAACCAAAAATGATATATTTATTCTTATATATATCTGGTATTTATTGCACATTGCTTCTTTTCAGTGTCTACTTCCAGCTCTCATTAGCTCTTTTTTCCTACTATTCTGAGTTGGAACTTCTTATGTTAATCTAACCACCACTTTCAGCTGTATGCAGATGCTTTTATCTCCCTCTTCCTCCACTGCACTGCAAACACCCACACACTTTACTTTCCAGCTCTCAAACTACACACACACAAACACACACTGTTTTATGCCACACAAACCCGACTGCACCAGTTGGGGTCATTTCCACTCAGAGGTGTGTTTTGTTGCGGCTGTCACCTGGACCTTTATTGGGGTCTCAGTTGGATGCTGCGATGATAAACGACTTCTTCGTTCACAGCCACAGGTGACACGTTGCTGGTGGCTCAGTTCCCTGGGAGACACGTAATGCCTTTCACCTGGTGGAGCTTAACACTAATGCAGAGCCAAAGTACCAGATATCAGATAATGAAACGACTTTATTGTTCTTCTTTGCGATGTACCAGTCTACAAAGGCATGGTAGTAGTAAGAGCAAAGGCATTTGATCGTTAAACTTACATGACTATGACAGACATCTGTTTTCCATCGCATTACTAAAAGGGAAAATACACCCTTAAATTGGTAGCTTAAATAACATTAATAACCTTTACCTTACCATTTTCTCTCCTGTTGATAATTTTCATTTGTATACTGCTGTCATTTTTTCTGCAGCCATTAAGCTGTCTAGACCCCGTACAAGGGTAAAGACCACATGGGGGGTAAATTGAAAAAAAAAAAACAAAACCAAAAAAAAAACACGTTCAGTTGAATGACATTTCTCTATACAGTACATACATCTCTAGGGTTTGACCTTCTGTTTGTGAGCCTCTGTTCCTTTGCTTTTAGGAAGCCTGGTATGAGTTCCGTGTCATGGCCGTCATGGACGACATGATCAGCGAGCCCAGCAACGTAGTTGGAGTGTCTAGCACAGGTAATTTAAAATTGTATTTGCTAAAATAGTTAAAACCTGAATGTGTGAAAAAGCACCAGGGGTTGTTAACCCATGTTGCTGGCTTGGATACAGGAGCTTCTGGGATTCAAACTGACAACCTCTGGCTCTGTAACTCCAGCTGTCTTTATGTTTCTGCGTGAAGTGGGCGATGCAGACTTATTGCACACTAAGCATTTTCAACTTTACATTTTGCTTAGTCAGCACAATTAAATTTAGGCCTCCAACCTCCTTTGTAGCCTCCTGAGAAGTATGACATCATCCCTCTGCTGGTCTTCCTCACATCACATCACTTACTCTGGATAATTTGTGTAATTAAAGAATTGAAGTTTAGGTAATTAAAGCTGTCTAGGGTTATACCACCATTTAAAAAAAATCTGGAATTAGATTTTCAGACTAACGTGCTCCTCTCACTGCAGAGGTCATCGGGTATGCAGCCTGGAGTAAGAACTGCATTTGGAAGCGTTTAATGAGATCTGCCGAGCAGCAGGCCTATGCTGCCCCCCAGTGGGGATTAGGATGGCTACGTGATACCAGTGTTTATTTGAAGTTTTTGCCTTTTTGGCAGTTTGTCATTGATTACGGTGCAAAAACCACTTTGTGAGTAAAATGTTTATTTTTAAGATAATATATCTAATATGTAATGAGGGAATAATATATTTATAGTAAGATGACTTATAATTATGTCCACATAATCAGGTTTCTTTGTAATAACCAAAAAAAGAACATTTAAGTTTTGTTTTTTATTGATTGTGCCTTCCTGTCATTGCAGACTTCTTCCCTCCTCCAGAGCTGGTGGAGGAGCGTGGACTGGCTCGGCCCGTGGTGGCAGGTATTGTGGCCACCATCTGTTTTCTAGCAGCAGCAGTTCTCTTCAGTACCATGGCTGCCTGCTTTGTCAACAAACAGCGTCGCAGGAAACTCAAGAGGAAAAAAGGTGGGGGGAAATCCCAGAGCAAGTTTTCTTGGACTATTTTTATTGATCTTAGTTTTTATTGATTTGTTTTATTGTCATTTGTTTAAATGCATTTTACCTATCTGTACTGTTACTGCATGTAACGCTGCATTCACTGTTACATATTCCTATTGCTTCTCTTTCTTTAGTTGTTTTATATATATCTTTTATTCCCATTCTGTCTTTCAGACCCTCCTCTGTCAATAACTCACTGCAGAAAAAGTGTGGAAACTCCGTAAGTAGCCTCCATCGGACTGAAAACATTTCTTAGATTGTAGTTACATCGTAAGAAAGTGGCTTCAGGAAACAGTTTTTGATTTTTTTTATTCTAAAGCCGGCTACATTTCAGGAATTCAAGAGGATTTTTATTGTCAAACCAAACATGCTAACCATTAATATTATTATTATTTTAAGGACCCAGATAGTAATAAATAAATACCAGAATAATAAATAGACTAGACTAGAATACAGCTAAAACACAATAAAAAAAACCTAAAATGAAAACAAGTGGAGAAGCAGAAACTACAGAAGCAGTCAGCACAACACACAAATATATACAAGATGTGAGAATAATATTTACATTGTGCAAAAATGTAACCATGTTGCCAGAAATGTTTAGGTTATATTGTTAGTTCCAATGATTTGATATGAATAGGATTGCATTCCTCAAAGCAAAGCAAAGTACAGTACAGTATATAGAGGTCAATCTAAAGAAATATATCAAGTAAGTGTAACACTCATCATCAAAATATTTCCGTTCAGTTTAAACTAGCTGAGTCTTCCCCCATTGGTCATTGAGTGGGTTCATATTTTTACATTTATCCTGTTGTCACATAAGAACATTTTGTGATAAGGTTTATGTAAGAGGTTCCAGTGACACATTGACTCACAGGTGAGAAGTTCACCAAATTTCCTGGGAGTGTGAGAAACCATTTTTCCCAGACCAACTATTAACCATCTCCACTAGTGGAATGAAGAGAACGGCTGGTTTAATTAAGTTACCGTTTTCTGAAGGTAAACACAAATAGGTCCATTACATGTGTTAACTATTTTTTAATAATTAATTAAAATGACATTGGACATACTGAAACTTCGTTTTTAAACAGCAGACTTTCTAACTGATCCCCAGGGAGCAGAAATTGTCCACTGCCACAGATGATTCTAAAAAAAACCTCCTAATTAGTGTTTTTTTTTTTTGTATTAGCTTTAAAGTCTTACTAAAATATCACAAATATCTTTGCAGTTTCTGGAAGATATATTTCAATGCTTTGCCTTTACATTTTCTTGGTTCCTTCATGACGTATTATCTGTTTTCAGGCTCATTACATCTTTGTGTTATATCTGTGTTTTTAAAGCCAGTTTAACCTGTCGCTTGTTGTTGCTTCTTGCTTTTTTTGTCCTATTTCTGTTGCCTTTGCTTTTTTACATATACATCTTATAAACAGACTTCCTGATTGCTCCATATTCTCCCTACTTCTACAGGACTCCACTTAGCTACATTCCCAGCTTTGAGCCATACTGGGAGGGGCAGGATGCTGGCAGGTACAGGCCCCAACCCCCCTCCCTTATCCCCTCTGAGAGTGCCAATTATTGTCCCCCTGGCCTTGCACGCATAAATCTACTTTTTGCACTTTGTATGAGCCCCTGTTCCTTATCCCTTAGGTAAAAGATTAGTGAGTAAAATTAAATAATAGTTAAAGGCGGACTAATAATTGTCCTATGTATACATATATACATATATATATATATATTTACATATATATAAATATTTATGTATATATATATATGTGTGTGTGTATATATGTATATATGTATATATATCTAAGACTAGTACTCTTACTAGTCCTTGTCTGAAGCCAATGGACCATATGAGTTAATTGTAATGTCCATTCAAATCAGGTAAGGTGGTAAACACAACAAAAAGTCACCCAAAGTCAGCATTAATTTCATACAGTAAATTAGTCATTTAAAAAAATGTTGAAAGGTAATTAGAAAAATTGTTACTACTCCGTAGCTTTGCCTAACCAAGTCAACATGTCTATGTGGGACATGCTGGGAGATAACATGGGTTTTAATTTGTCTTTAAAAAGTCTTTTGTGTCCTTGTTGCTTGGACACTAGGTTGTAGCCATATGAAATTACAGCTCTTGAACGCAACATGGCTCCTTGATGTTGAATCTATTGTTGTGTCTTTTTGGCAATAAAATAATTTCAGCATTGTCTGTCTCTGTTACCAAAAAGAGACAACACTTGGTGACTATCCTCACTTTATACTCACCTTGTGTTTTTTGAATGTGTGTTGTCTCACGTGTGCGTCCTCACGATGATTCCTACACCCTTACCTGCATTTGTGTTTCCTTTGACATTTACTGTTGCATCAGTTGCTTGTATAATGTTTTCCTGGGAGAAATAAAACCTCACTTCTATATATCAACACCTTTACCTCAACTTAACTTCATTACCAGCAGTTGCTATCACTTATTATTTTAAGCAGAGATCGTGTCTTGCTGGGGAACTGACTAAAACTATTTTGCACCATCACCGACTAAATTGGGGCCCAAACAACATCTCCTGTTAAAAAAGTCTGTGGTCTGTTCACTTCTTGCAACAGATACGGTTAATGTAAATATGAAATGTCTTGTTCATTACTTTTTTTTTGTAGAAAAAGTGCAAAAGAATGTAATGGGAAAAAATATTGGCCTAAAGCAATTCTTTTAAATTAATGGTAAGGTGTAGCTGTATTAAGATGGGACTGAACCTGCCTGTCTAATTGTCATTTAGCTTTTTTTAAAACAATGTCTTCTTTTTTGTAGGTCATCTTCAGGCAAGGTGAGCCCTGAGAGTATCCGTTCCAAGGCATCCCAGTCAGAAACATCTGAGGATGGCTATGACCATCGTGGGAAGAAACCTCCTCCAAGTCCTGGGAAGAGGGAAGAATTATCTTTGTACAAGAAGACAAAAAGAGCAATAACAAGTAAGAAGTACGGCACAAAGCACGAAGCTGAAGCAACGACACCGATTGAACTCATAAGCCGAGGCCCCGATGGACGCTTCGTCATTGATCCCAATGATGCTGACATATCCGTTAAGCCGCGGCGGATTGAAGGCTTCCCGTTTGTGGAAGAATCAGATCTCTACCCAGAATTTCGGCAGTCTGATGAAGAAAATGATGATCCAAGACCTCTGCCACCAGTTATGGCCCCCCTTCGGACACATCAAATTTCCCCAATCTCCAGTCAAGAATCATATCTTCAACCTCCAGCCTACAGCCCTCGTTTCCACAGGCCCTTCGAAGGTATGACCATCATGGAGAGCAGTCGGCTCCAGGCCACAGGGCAGATCCGTGGTTCACTCCACCACAGGGCTTTCTATGGCTATCTAGGCCCCCCTGGGGATCATGACGCACCACCTCCTTTTTACATGCCTGAAACCAGCCCTCTCAGCTCTGTCATGTCCTCCCCTCCATACCTTACTGAAGGTCCTTACGGTCACCCTGTGATTCCTGAAGAAATAGGAGAGGGTGATTTCCCACAATATGCTGTCTCTGGTTTCCCGCTTCCTCTGACACTCACCTCTTCCTCGCGTTCCCCGGAAATTTGGCAAGGGGTAGATTTCACTTTTGCAAGTTTGGAGGGACCTCAATTCATTTTTCCACCTCATCACCCTTTGCAGCTCCGTCATGATTCCCCTTACCCTCCCCCTCATGTTCTTCCCCTTAGTGCTTTCCAGACCTCCACCCTCCCTATGCCTACATACCCAGCCGTCCTGCCACTGGAGGCCCCAAAGAGCTACTCAAGCAAGTCTCCCAGCAAGGCAAAGCCTCATGGCTCTCCAGCCAAGCATTTAACTATGCAAGAGGCACATTTAGGGCAGCTAAGACACACAAGCCACGGTATGGGTGTGCCAGTTTTGCCTTACACTGATCCAATGGCGCATATTGTCCCTAGCACATTCAGTAGCCTGGACACGCGGTGGTTTGAGGCCACTCCTCGTTTTAGTCCCAGACAGGCTCGTAGGATGGATTCTGGCATACATCAGGTGGTTCTCCAGCCCTCTCGACTTTCACCACTCACACAGAGCCCTTTTAGTTCCCACGAGGGCTCCCCAGAGATTGTAGTGCGCCCCAGGCCGCGTCCCAGCATTGTCCAACCACCTATACCACCAGAGATGTCTGAGATTACCCTCCTCCCTCCTTCCACAGCCAGCTTCTCCAGGAGATCATCCCCTTCCTCCTCACCTGCCCAAGGCCAGGGTAGTAGGAGAGCAAGCCCCAGCTACCGTTCCCACTTGGCCTTTGCCACATCTGCAACCAGCTACCCAGCTTCCCAGTCTCCATCACCTCCTATGGACAGCAGCATCATATTTGGGCAGATGTCATCTCAGAGGAGGACTGAGGAGGAGATCCTTCCGTCTGAGCCTTCTCCACCCCAGTTATCAGCTTCAGGGTAGGTGATTGTGGTATACGTAGGGGGACCATTTATATCATATGCCCCAACTCATAATGCTTTAATATGTGGATTTGCTCTGGCATTTGGTTCCTAGCGCACTGTCTAATGCAACAGTTCTTTAATTCATCCGTGTAGCAACTAAGTTTCTCTTTTTAAGCCTATAAGCACTGGTTTACATTAAGTTGTTTAAAAACTGTTTCTAGATAAAATGACAAATGAATAGTTGAAGGAAACTCTTCATTTATAATTATTGTTTCATAGGTTCTGAAACATTTTACTTTTAGTTTCAGTCAAGGCAGTGCTGCTTTCCATGTCAGACATCCAATAAAAGGTGTTCACCCACTACATCTGTGAAGCATTGTTCCAAAGTCTTTTCAAGTGAACACTGATGTATTGAACAGATGTTATTACACAGCAAATTATTTGCTTCACAGATGGCTTTTCAGACCTTTTGGGGCTATAGTGAATCTGGCTATCAATTATTGATTTCCCCGTGTAACTTGTATACGGTAATTTGTTTGGCATAAGCCCCTCAAAGCCTGGAAATGTGCAGATATCCCCACTGGGTCCCTGTTTTGCCATACGTATCATGTGTTATCTCACCGTCCTCACTTTCACCTAACAGGAGGAAGTCCATAACATCCATTCAAACAGTTCCCTAGTAAATACTCATTATTATGTCTAGCTCCAAGCCTTGAAGATGCCTTTTCACATGCAGAGGGATGCTTTAAGAAGAGTTCATCTTGGCAGGCCCTGCGGCCCATCCTCGCCTTAGTAACCTGACTGCTTGACCAATTTCCTTCACCTTCAGATCTTTCCTTACCCTACCTCCCTCTCTGTAACCCTTCCACCTGAATCCCTCTTAATTGTCCCCAGGACTTTCCCAGGTCTGACTACCAAGGAAAGATTGTTGGGCAAAGTGTGTCACAGGGCCTGTCCGCTTCTCATGTACTGCAATGTTTCCATCACTGTAACTTAGGGGCAGTGTGGTGGTTCTTGATGGCTCCTGGAGTCTTACCTGCTTTGTTTTTGATTGATCTCAGCTATCTGGGCAGCGTTGTTGTGACCAGGTCCTCTACACCGCAATAGGTAAGGGTTGGATCCATGTCTGAAAGGGGGGGGTTAGCAGGTGGGACTTTTTTGATCACCTCGTCCTTTAAAGGGGAATACAAAATTTAAGTCTTTGCTTAATTTGTTCCTTTCTTAAGTTGACAGTTGTTTCACTTTTTTTTATTGTTTTCTCAAAATTGCCAGAAGCATTTTAAGTTCTGCAGTCTTCGTCACACTATGCATTCTGATTGATATGCATATGCCATCTATCAGTGAATAAACTAGGTCAGAGACGTATCACCAACAATATTTCATGCTTGAGTGGTTTGCTAACTAACCATACTCACATGCAGCCTTGAAATAAATGAAAAGACAATTCATCTCGGATGAGCATCCGTCCAGTTTTAAATCGAATTGACTTAAGTCATCAGTTTAAAATGTAAATAACATTGATTCCTATACTAAAGATCGCCTCATTATCTGATGAATATTGGATGTATAAAATAGCTCCTACTATAATATAGAAGTTGTACACAGACTGGTATATTTTCAGGCTGAAACAATTGTTGAAATCCCATTCAACTGTGTCGTTAAATAAACATTGCCAAGATTATGAAAGTCAAACAGACAAATTATTTATTGATCCTCGGTCCTACGACTCAAATAACAGAAACCTATACTCTACCTCTGCTGTCGCCTTCTTTTCTCTAAGTTCAATGGTCACCACAGTCAATCATCTGCCTCCATCGAACCTTATTCCTCACCTCACTATGTCAACAAATCTTTCTTGGGTCTTTCCTTCTTTTCCTCCTGCTCATCCTATATCCTAGGATGTTGGGGATAGCCACTCCCAGTAGTCTCATCCACACACATTTATTTACTGACTTTCATACTTCATCTCTATGAGGCATAGCACATTTTCCCTAGTCCTTTTTTGTGTTTACCGTCATCCTATCCTGCCCACAGCCCACTGCATGTCCCCATATGTCAGTCCGTATGTTAGTAGCATGGCAAACAAAAGTGAAGCCCAGCTTGTCTCTCTGATCAGCTCTGAAACCATCTGTCACTCACTTCAAGACTTCAGGTCTTCAAGTGAACTGAACTTGAGAACTGACAGGTCTCGCTCCGACAACTCTCTCCAACATCTTTAACATGTGGAAAACTGACTTAATGTCTTCACTGTTACTCTAAGTGTACACAAGTACAAACATCAAAGCTTGAGCTTGAAGCTTTCTCTACCCACCTTGTCTCATAGACAGCCTTCCACATTTGGACCAGCAGCCATTCATGTTTGTTCCTTTAAGGTCACAGTTATCATCTTTTTACTTATCACTGCACTTCCTGATTTATTACATTGTTTCATCTCTCTTCTGCAGCTTCCACTTTAACAGCATACTGCTTACTGCTCTCTCATCAATACGCCTCATCAGCCTAATCCAATACATCTCTTTCCTGCTGGTTCTTCTTTTCAGGACAGTAAATACAAGTCTTTTTCTTCTTCTTCTTTACTGTTCACTCTGTTTCTTACCCTTGTCACTGGACCAAACTTCTTGCTTTACAAACCTTTTTAGTTTGTAAAGTCTATTCCACTTTTTCTTAGCTCCTATACTTTCTTGTTTCAACACAGTCATTTCTTCTCTTTTCTCATTTTTTTTCTCAGCTTTCTAGGTCATCTAGTAAAATACCTGACCAGAGTCTGTTTATAAAACCTTTCATAGCTTCCTTTGGTTTACACCATTTAATCATTTTGAGTCCATTGAAGACTAAAATCTGAAAATGACTTCCTTCCTTTGCTCTCCCCTGGTAAATTATTACATTCTTCATTTATTTGAAGATTACTTCTTGAATTCACTCTCTTCTTATGTCACCATACACTACATTACCTTTTCCTTTTTCCTTTTCCTTGGACTTGGTCTTGGTCTTAGCAGGTAACGCTACTCTTCTGCCTTTTCCTTTCACTTGCTACTGAAGTTCCACTTCTGTACACTGGAGGCAGTCATCGTATACATGGGCTGGAACAGATCTAGCAGAAACTGGCAGTCTTTTTGTGGTACACATTCTTTGCCAGATGCTCTTCCTGAAGCAACCCTCACTATAGACTCGAGGCTTGGGACTGATATTAGGAGAAGGAAGAAGAAGAAATCCTTTTAAGTCTCTCTGTTACATTTTTCTTATGATGTTGGTATAAAATTAATCATTTGCTAAATTATTCTGTATTGGTATTAATAATAACTCCTGTTCTCTCTAACTGTTTTTTTGTCCAATTAATGTGGCTCATAAAATAACTAAAAAGTTAAATGATAGAGAAAAGTGTTTTGTTTTACTGCTACATTAAAACTCATATTAAAGATTAGATTTCTGAAAACCTCCAATTAATAATAATAGACATAATTAGAAATATGTAGTCGGTGATACATCAATAGTTCGTAGAAAAGCCTTAGTAACCTTTCCTGGAAGCTATTCAGACTAAATAGAATTCACCAAAAAATGTATTATTATTTCTTTTTGTATCTGCGATATTGTACTGTAAAGAAGGCCTTCCCTTTATCTGTGGTCACTAATTTTAAGAAGTTAGGGCAAAGGTTAATTTTATACAATTTTGTACAGTTCATTATTTTATTTATACTGAAAAACACTCAAAGCATTTACTGCAAAAAAGGTTTAAAAAAGAAAATTTTACGACTTTGCTTGTTCTTGTAACAGTTCATCAGTGTGGTGCAGCCATGGAATTTAAAAAAGTAGTAATTGTTTCATTTACACACACAGTGTGAGTATGTAATAAATATATTTCTTCATCCTCCACCAGATCAGGTCAGATTGACTCCCAGTTTCTTTAAATAAATTGTATTTAGCCAACAAAATATATATCAAATATATTAAAATATTTAGTTTCAACCAGTGGTACATGTCCAAATGTTCACTGCACAGCTCAACATAAGTACTGTTTTCCTGCATTTTATATCGAAACCTGACCAGACGTCCAACAGGTGGCGTCACCTGTAGTCACAAAATTGTAGAAATGTTTCATTGAGGTAACAAAAGAATGCTTTCTTAGAACATAGCAACATATATTTTCATGTCGTCCTAATGAAATCCTCTGGGGGTAATTAGCAAGGTGTGGCAGTCAGTCTTTTATGAACACAGCCCTCCTAGTGATTAATAGCCTATATAAAAGATGAATACTCCATTGGAAAACTCTTAGCATTCTCCTCAAGCGTGACACGCTGTTATTCACAGATGCCTAACATCACACCAATTGAAAATATTTTTGACTCCAATCTGCGAGAAATATTTTCTGTGATCAGAGTAATATCCTTCCGCTGTCGCTGTGTGTCCACTGGAAGCTATTGTTTAGAATTTGTTTATTTTGTATCAACAGTTCAGCATAAAGTCTGCTGCATGCTCCTGGCAGTGATGACGCATGTGTTGCAAACGCATCGTTCGTAACGTACAAAAGATGATTACACATATCTGCTTTTACCAGACATGCATTCAAGGTAAAAAAGCAAAAGAAAAAGCTATGGCTAGTTCTGCCCACGAGCGTCTGTTTAACCCAAAATTTAGAACTCTTCCTTGTGGACACATGGCATTGTAATGAGCATCTGCAGCATGAAGGAAGCATATCCTTTCATTAAGCACTGTCACTTGCAAGTTTGGACTGCAGAACAGTTCTTACCCTATCAGGCAAGTGTCTTGAAAAAAAAAACATAGCAAATGCTCTCCTTTTTATGCTAAGGAACAAATGTTTTGCCAAGGGCTTGCTGGGGCGACACAAGAGGGAGCAATGTGGTGGAGGGTGAGAACACCCGTATCTATGAGTAAAGTGACTAATGACCTGCTGCAATCCAATGTATTCCCCTTTAAAGTCGTGTTCCATGTGCAAACTGCCATGCATGCCATCGCTAAATATTGCTCTTCCGTTTCGAAAAAAAAAGAAAAAAAAAAACAATTCTATGGATAAATTCTTGTTACATTTGTTGTCCTAGTGCTTCGCTTTCCTTTGGCTTATTTTTCATTATGTGACTGTTCCCGAGTAGTCATTTTCCCCTCCCGCCATCTCTCCCCCTGTCAGCATGGTGAAGCCCATTGTAGACAGTATCCATGTCTATGAATACACATTGATGATGCTTTGTTGCTCAGCTGTGATTCTTCTCCTCTACTAATGAACTCCGGTTTCTCTCTGCAGCCACGGTGGGAAGTTGGCTTTTCTGTAATGTGAATTGTTTCTGTGCCTTGAAAGAGCTGTGTGTGCGCGTGTGCGTGTGTGTGTGGCATAAATATGTGAGAACCTGCAGGAAGTGAGGGATGTCTTAAGTTGCATTCAGGGGCAGATGTGACCTTTCCACACCAAAGAAACATTTGCAACTGTTATTTTCAGAGTGTAGACTTGAAGTAAAACAACAAAACTTTAACAATGATTTGAAATGTTGTTCTTATTGAAAATACTGTTGGATTTTTTTCTCTTGTCCTCTGAAATCAACAGTGCAAGTCTTTTTTAAATGTTGTTTCTTCCTAACAAGTGTATTAGTGTTCTCATACACACCATGACAGTTGATGGGTTTCATATAAAAGTTCATTTTCTTTGAGTCAAAATTGTTTGGATCAATTTGAGCAAAAATGTCTTAACTGTTCCTAATTATTAATTCATGATATTATATTCGCAAGATTAAAAAGAACCAAAGTTATAATTTATCTAAAAGATTAGTATTTGATGGTTAAAATGTGCAGATGTTTGGCAGTAGCAGAACTGTCCTTTTTGGTGTCTCACATTGATCCTTCAGCAATGTCCTGCACTTTGTGGCTAAGCACCGCTGGTGCTCGTCTGAGGTTGTGCAGGTCTCTGGTTCTTTTGCCCTCCGTAGTGCAACCGTACAGTAGACTGTCTCGATGGCCTGGAGTTACCCGTTTCCCCCTCTCTCTTTTCATCCAGAAAACATCGAGGTGCGCTGAGTGCCCTATCAGGGTCTGAGAGGATTGATGCACTGAGGTACCAACGTATTAAAAAGACCAAGAAGATGACAGTAAACAACAATAATTCCAAGTCCAGGAAGAAAGCAGGTGTGAACCCTGGTTTGTGATTCTTAATGAATATTACTAAAAAAAAATGAATGCAGCCTCCAGGTTGGACCTTTACAGTTTTGTGTTTGTTAACATACAACACGTAGCTCAGCTTCCCTGGCCTGCAGGTGGTGCTAGACGTATTCAATGATTCTGGTACAATATTACTATTTCACATAGATTGCACAGCCATTTATTTTCCTACAAGAACCTGTTTCTTTGAAGCTGGTACGAGTGGACAATTAGACCCAGATGGTAGCCGGCCTTGCCCCTTGGCACTGTGGAAACCTGGAGAATAATAATAATTAACTATTTACTAAAGGCTGTGTGGTGTGATAGAAGTGTCAGTAGATTTTAAGGTTTTAAGCATTTGTTTTCGGGTGATTATAATGATTTGTTGAATTATTAAGGTTTTGATGTGACATTCACCTCCCTTCCTCCAGGTGTCTCCACCTCTCAGACCCAGCAGGCCTACACCTCTCAGGTACTTCAGCCAGAGGAAGCGCTCTACCTCCGCAAGAAGAGGAAACGGCCCATTCTCCATGACCCATACACTCGCTTTTCTGCTCTGCTGTATCGCCGCCAACCTCGGGAGGACCAGAAAGCTATTTTGGCGAGCATGGACAACATAGACCTCGACCATGCTACTCTCCTCTGAAGGTCCTTGAAGACAAAGTCACAACACAATATGGCCCTGGTTCTAAACATAACAATTTTGAAGAAAAGAATCAACAAAAAACAACTATCAGAACTTTTCTAACCATCTGTATCGGGGAATCACTAAATTTGACCGTTCATTCTATTCTTCCAACTCATTTGGTCATTTAAATCGTATTAGTAACCGTTCTGAGAAACTGACGGACGCCTGAGGACTCCAAATAACAAGAGTCCAAAATTAGTCCCCAAAGTACAGATTAAATCTGTAGTAGCAGAATTTGTTTCTTAAATCTGAAGTCACATGACTACCATGATACTGAGCCATTGGAGGTTCTGTACACAAATCTCTCCCCCCACCATGAGCACTAGCAGGCACTCTGGCAATCGTTCATCTAAACCCTTGGCGTTACCAATGCTGAAAATAGCAACTTTTAATGAAAGGATAGTTGACATTTTAGAGGAGAAAATATCATTTATTTCTTTCTGAACAAAGTCCACCATCATCTTTCTCTTTATTTAATTACTTGACTTAATGAATCATTGATAAAAATGCCAAAACTATCCTGCCTACTCCAGCTTTAATGCTGCGAGGGAAATCATGGTTCTAACCTTTATCTCTCTAAGGTTTGAAACTTTTTTTTTTGACTGGGATTCCCATCTACACATAACAGTTCTGTGTGTGTTAGAATTGAGAAATATAGCCCTTTAAAACATTCAGCAGCAGATTAGATTAAAATGTGTCACCACAAATTTCAAAGTTTTACTCCAGTGCAAAAACCTGCATTACTATAAACTTGATAACTATATATATATGTATAAATATATTAGTGATACTTGATTACTAACTCCCATCGTTCAACATTTTTATTTAAAATTGAAAATTTCTCCAGGCTTGGGTCTTGGGTCACAATGAGCTGAGCCAACTCCCCCTCCTCTCCCGTTCCCTCCCCCCGGTCTCTGTTTACAGCAACCTCACATCGGATCCGTTCCGCCAGCAAAGTCTCTACTCTGCCGACAAACTAGCCTCGCAAACTATGGATATTCTCACTTCCTACCAAGTTTACCTCAGAGCACAGGACACGAGACCACACAACCACCAGGATCAGCCAGCAGAACTCACTAGCTTCTCTCCACTCCTTCACATATCCTTTTCTTTTTCTATAGACTTTTTCTACAATCCAAAGTTTATGTGCTTTTTTCTAGTTGGTTAGGTGTGCACACATACAGTTACTCTGTCTTGCACCTAGTTTTGTCACAAAAGAAAAAAAAATAGTGCTTTATTAATATTTTCTCTGCAGACACACAAAAAAATATAACCGTGAGCTGATTTTAAATGTATTTTCTCTTTAAAGTTGCTCTTCATACTAACAAAAAAAATTAGATTTTGATTTTTAAAGACTATAGCATGGTTAGCTTTAAACTAATGTCATTTCTTTTTGTCTGCTCCATAGCTCTTTATATCAGTTTGCACTGGAGCAAATCTTGTCACTTTTCTTTTAGCGATATAGTTTGTCCTTTAGTTTTTGATTAGAGGGCTCTAAATCCTATTCAGAATTATATTCATGCCAAATAAATAGCAAAATAAAAAGAAATAATTTGACTGGAGGATAGGATTTTGTGCCATAGCATATTATATACTATTACATAGTATTTTTGAACAAAATGAAAATAGTTTGGCCTTAATGAAAGTTTGTGGTTGGTCCTGTGTTCCACTGGTGTCCCTTGGTTTCTTTCATTTTAAATTGAATCAGTGGTAAAATAATAACAAAATAATATTTAGTTTTGTTTTGTTTTGTTTTTTTTACATATTTTTGTGATTCCTTTACATATTCATTTGCATAATTTAAATTGGTACCTGAGGTTCTTGGTGTTATAAAAAAAGAAATTACTCATGGAAGTGCCAGACCTACAGCACTGGGCTATAACAAGTTATCCTTGCCACGGACAAGAAGGAGTTGTACAAAGTTTTGTTTTGTTATATTTCTGCTACTCTCATGACTCCCTAATCTAACCATGAGCTTTTATGTCTGTTAAAGTCGTATTACTCTTGGAGAATTACAGGATTTATGTATTCGTTTGTTGATATTTGTTTATTTTTCCCTGTGTTGTTTTTTTTTGTTTGTTTGTTTGTTTTTTGTTTTGTAGTTTTGAGCAAAATCAGACAAAGCTGCAACTCTGGTTTGCAGAGTGAGTGTATGGGCAAAAAGAAGTTGTTACCCACCAACCAAACACACTTCATGAAGTGAACTTTTATTCATCATTGTAGCTTTGTGGATGTGGACACGTGTGAAACGTCTGAGTCGTGCTTGGTTAGCTGTAGCCGAGGAAACTTTGTGCAGTGGTGTCACAATGATAAGTAGTTCCCTTTCACTTATACAGTTATGATGCTGGAAAAATGAAGTTATGGGCAGTTGTGTAGATTTCATCAGAGCTCTGAACAGTAGGTGGCGACGGTGCTTCATCACTTATACCTACAGTAAAATAATGAGCAACATCCTACCTACCCCAGCTTTAAAACATGCCAATAATAAGACATATAAAATATACCATTTTCATTAGCTTCTTTGTATCTACATTACATACAAAATAATCTAAATCCTGAATAAATATATCACACTAAAAAAAATATTTTAACTCAGAAAATGTATATTTCTTGCAGAGGGAAAAGGTAGAAAGTCGTGCCTTTACATGTGGCAAGAGTAGTTTGTTGGTAGGTTGGAGTGTTAGCTAATGCTTCTTTGTCATAATGTGCTGTTTTTACAAGGTAAAACCTTGTGAATTGTGAATTTTAACTTTAAATTTAGTGCAGCCACAATCCCTACTTCCAGTGCTCATGATAAAAATGGCATGAATGGTTTTACACCTGTGTTGATGTAGTTAGAAAGTTGAACTCACCTGTGTTAGAAGCCGGCTCTTCATGCAGCCAAAGGTGCTAATGGCTTTTCCATTTTCGGATTAGATGTGACACATACACATATTAATCTATGGTTTTCTGCTATGTTATTGTTGAAGACGTGTTTTAAAGTCAATGCCAACAGACGGAATCAGCTGTACTAGATTTAAGATCTTTATTGTTTAGGTCCAAGCTCTCATCAGGCCCAAAATCTCAACCATGTGATTCAACTTTCCTTTTAAGAATCAGATCAATTAACCACAAAATGGTGTCACTCTCCCAGCTGTGGTGATGGATTTACGTTTCAGCTCCAAGGGAAAGTAACTATTTAATGAAAAGCTAGGAGTAAAAAGATATTATAAAATGTAAACAATTATATTTAACTTGCAAATTCACAACTAATGCACTTTCCCAGCTGTACATTAGATTTTTTTAAATTTATTAGATATCTAAAATAGACTTCAATAAATAAATTATATAAAATACGGAATATATTCTCTATTAAAATGTAAAGATATTATTAAATCTGCATACTATATTTTATAAATAATAAATGTATTAAGTAGATAAAATACATAAACATATATTTAAAAATGACTTAAGCATGGACATAGTTTTATTATATAGGTTACTGTGAGTGAAATCTCCTTCAGTACACACTTTCACTACACTCTGCCATTGAATCGTTGTGAATGAAAAAACCTAGTCACTGAGTTCTTATGAAACACACAAGCGTCAGTGGAATCACTTTACTTTTTTGTCATGAATCTTGGTCGGATCGTTGAGATTCTTCTTTGACTTGAGAACCCGGTGCGTCTGCCTTTAAACCAGCGATGAGTCAAACTAGGTGCTTTGCGTGACTGAGCAGCGGAGGCTTGTGTGAACTGAGGGCAGTTTGGGCTCAGATGAACTGTACTGTATACCTCTAAATGTGCCACAGAATAATGTGTCCGTGTACATACTGTACGTAATGTATATTGAAAGATGTTACTTGCATGGTACGAACATTTGAATGCCACAATATGGGATCACTAGAACCTGAGTAAATTACAGAAGAGATGTGCAACAAAGAGAAGAATCACTTTTGACGTTTCATACCATTAAATGGCTCCTTCAGTTGTTCAGTCTACATGTGGGACAGCTTTTATGCCGCCTGTCCTTCTTGATGTCCCCCTCAGTTTGGAGGTTAGCTGGATTTTTTAAAAATCAATCAGTCATGTTTTCTTTTGGTCATTGTAGACTTGATTAGACCAACACGATGTTATGACAGTAAATAAAAGGAAAATTTTTTTTTTTTTTTTACAGACCAGCAGCATCTTGCTCATGGCTCATTCACCTCATATATCCATCTTTTTAGAACCAAACCCATGAATAGTCTTCTTTTCCTTGTGTGTTGTTCAGTCACCAATGTCCAGTTTATCATCCCCATTCCTCAGCACATCCATATCATCTCAAGCTTACCTTAGGTGCTTTACCTGAAAACCACTCTGTTCAGCCTCCTGGGTCACCGTTGGGTCACCCTTGACATTCTTCTCCACCCTCATCAAACAGCAGCGCAGCTTGTGTGCAATGCATTGGAACTGATACCAAGTACTAGAACTGGTTCCTAATGGAGCTGTCAGTCAAACTGCTTACCTCACAACTGTCATGTCCTGCACCATCCTCATGTACCTTTCTGCCACACACATTCTCATCTAGTACCAAACCTCCCATCCCAGGACCCTATAATGTGCTTTCTTTGGAGTCACAAAGACCTTTTGACCTTCTCTTTTCTTCTTTACCAGCATGCATAAAACAAACTGCATGTCTTACCTTTTTTTTTAGCCTAATATCAAACTGCTGCTTGCTAATTTTAACCTTTTTCCTGAGATATCAAACTGCTGCTTGCTAATTTTAATTTTTTAATTTGTCTTTGTTTTATTATTAAAACATTTTATTATAAAAGCAAATTATTACCTATTTATAGTAGTTTAAACTGCTATCAAAAACTAAGTAACTAATTTTAACAAAGATGACGATCAATTCAACTAAAGATCAACAGTATACGTGCTGTGCCCTTCAGTTGTATCATTATAGCTGGACTATTTACTGGACAAATTCATGAGATAAAGTGTAAAACTGCAAAAGTAAAAAAGTCTCTAGAAAACCTCTAGACAAGAAACAGTAACTGTGTCTGAATAGAAAAGGAGAATGTTTGCATCAGGTCTGTAAATGCGGAGTAGACCTACAGCAAATGGTAATGAGCTCCGTCTCATACTTTTAAAATGACATTTACCAGCCAGTACTGCAGTAGGTGACTAATTAGCTGCAAAAACACATTTATGTCACTCATGAAATACTTATAATACTTATAATCTCAGTACTGTATCAGACTCTGTGACTGGTTTCATCCTTCACTTTTACCAAACTTGTAAAACTTTTTTGACATTTGAAACATTGTTAAACTGAGATTTCAAGAGTGCAGAATCTCTGGTGCTACCACAGATATAATTGGTTTGTTTTTATCCTACTGGAAGTGTACTACCAATCTGACAGTATCCTAGCCTAAGAACTTGTCGCAATATAAACTTTTTCCAGTCGGGAGTATCTAAACATGTAAATCTGTTACCTTTTTGGTATTTTGCATACTGACATACTGCCCCCCGCCCCCTCCCATTTCACGTATGCTGTATGTATTATCTAGAAATGCTAAACAAAATAATTTCCACGATGACTAATGTTGTCACGGCAACTCACGAAAAATTCCCCCTGTGAGGCCACAGATGAGTCAATTGGTGAAAATGTCTCCACCATAGGTGGATGCCCATTACTATCCAAATATTACTTTACCAGACCAATTTCCCAGATATTCAAAGCTGTGAGGAATATTCAAAATGAAAGGAAAAAATACTAATAAAAATATAGTAGTTACTGTGTATATAGTATCTTAAATAAGCATACCTTGTCATAAATATATATATATATACATCTATATATATATATACATATATATTTTTTGTATACAAAAAATGTGATCACATCAGCTATATTAAAGACAGAGTGGGAAATGAGTAGTGTAGGGTCTGCTTCAGTGACACATTATAACATGGCCTAACAGACCGATGTGTATACCGTATACATGAGTAATGGGAGTCTTAATGCTAGAAATTAGTTTTAAAAAAAGCTTTTATATGTACATATATATGTATACATATATCTACACATGTATATGTATATATATATATAAAGTAGTACTTGTTTTCAGGAATGTACAAGTCTTTCTTCTCTATTATTTTTATATCCATTTGTTGCTTAATTCTGTAGCAATGCAGAATCTTCAGAACAGTAGAAAATGTTCACATCAATCTGAGGTGGTCAGCTGTGTCTCAAACAACAGGAAGAGCAGTGCAGCCAAAAATCTGTGGCTGTCCTGCATACACACAGACTCTCAGAGAGGGATACAAACAAAGTCGTTTTTTTTGTAGAAACCTCCGTTTGGCGTGAATAGCAAACGTAATTCTTGAATTTGACGTGAGCTGTCATCGTGTCACTGATATTTTGTCCTCTAGGAGGTGTGTTTTAGTTGTTGTTTGGGCTGGCTTCTGCAGTCACACATTTTTTTTATTATATTTTTATTTTGCTGTAAAAGAATGATGACAATTCCCCCCCACTATGGTGCTCCCCTGCAATCTGTGTCACTGCACAGCACAGGAATACAAACGTTCATCTAATTTACCAACTGTTCAGATAGAAATATTCTAGGGTGTGTGTGTGTGTATGTGTGCAGCGTGTTTGTAACAGACTGTGCTCCATGATGCTGCTTTAACATGAGGGGACTCAAATGTTTGATTCAGCTGTGTGTTCTGTTCCACGCTTATGTGACGGACATCGACAGTGGTGGCTGAGAACTGCGGTTCCGCCCGAACACTGGTGACGTTCAATACATTGCTATACTGTACATTGCCAAAAAGACATGTCATAAACATTCTAACAACTGGTGCTATTTAATTACATGTGTGGTGCTTTTGTTATTTTTTTACGTTCAGGATTTCCTTGCTTCAGACAAAATGTAGCTACACAATCATGTACTGTACTGTGGGTTGCTGTTTGGCCAGTGAGACGTCTGTTCTAGTGTTGTGCTGTTGGTGGTTGTTATCCGACTGCTAGTTTCAGGAAACACACAGATCAGCAGGACTAACATATTGGGTGGCAGATTTGAACGCAAGGAAATTTAATAAGGCATACATTTCAGTACACGTGTCACAGTGGTTTTCCTGAGGTCTAATATGTTTTCTTTTAATTTAATTTACTACAAACATCACTGTTATCCAAAGTCTAATGTATATACATTGTGCTGAGACCTGATTAATCAAATAATCTCCATGAATTTGGATCATGGATGTGTTTTCTCTAACGTCAAAAACATACTTTTACCTTCAGGTTCCCTTTAACCTCAGTGTGTGTCCATATTGAAGCTTTGAAGTATAAATTAAAGGAACAGTCAGGTCCAGGCCTGGTTGGTGTTGCTAGAAGTACAGACTAGCCCCAAGACTTGATGAATTAATGCACAGGAATCACTACTGGGTCACGACCCATGGTTTGTACTGCAGAATACTTCAAATAAACATGGTATCTATTCACCACATGACCAAAATACCTGAGAAATTCATTATCTGATCGTGATAGATCAAAGTCATGATGTTTCACCTCTAAATGATGTTCAAATGACATAGACTCGGGTAAAAAAAGACAGACTGACTCTGTTGTTCAGCTTTTCTATTCTAGACAGAATATTTACTTTCATCATGCCGGTCCAGTGTCCTATTTGAAACTTGGTGGTGCATTATCATACCATTAACCTCTGATGGTAAAATCCCATTTCCTGTTTTCCTCAAGCCCTGGTTGGAACTGAGACCATTAAATGCAACACATTAGAAAGTGTCTTAATTTTCTTGGAAAAACAATTTACTCCAATCACAGTGTGTGGCTAGCACAGTTACATAATCCATCCTGCTAAAAGTACTTTTGCACTGTTGCTTGAGAAACTTTTCTCTGCTTTGATATGATATCAGTGACCAAACTCCTCCAGAACATGTGCGACTGTTAAAGGGACCTGGAGAGTAAACATGTTTAATGACCAAAAAAAAAAAACAACCAAACATTGTTCTAGAAGACTCAAGTCCTAACGTCTGCTTTAAAATATCAACCCATTGCAGCCTCAATACTTTATCAACGATGTTACGGTAACTTGATAACTGTATGTGTCTTTAAACCACAAAATGCAATATAAGTGGAAGAAGAACAAAGTGAAGTCACAGTCTCCTCCTCGAAGTTCGGTCTTCCTGAGATGTGTTCAACGTGTTTCAGTCACTGATGTCATTTTTTATGGGTTTTTGTCATTTTAAACTCCTGGAAAACAGCAAACAAGAGTATTCTCTGTTAGTTACAGGTGTAGACAACTCAGTACCTCAATACGTCTGTTCATTAAAAAAACAACAACAACAACAACAACAACAACAACAAACCTTTAGCCCTGCAACAAAACTTTTGACTTTGGCCTATGTTGACCATCTCTGAGAAGTCAGTACTCATGATGCTTTCTATATTTGTTGGCACAATCTAACACGAGAATGTATGGCCACTGTAATCCCCGCTCACCCCAACCTTCCTCAAAATTGAAGCTTCGAAAGCAAGTAAATTGAAATATTGTTTTTTTTTGTTTTTGTATTTTAAATGTCTTGGTATGCTTGTTGTAGGTCATAATGGTGTATATTACATCAGTTTTTATTTATTAAAATGTTTAAATTTTCCTAACACGGCTGTTTTTATTATTGATCAACTTGAGGTTACACCAATTGACTTTCCTTGTGCTTGTGTAAAAATGAACTAGTGCTTAACCTGCTTAACGCCTCTCAGTAAAAATGGTACATATTGTTGGTGTCAGTGGCCAAGTAGGTTTTCTATTTATTTTCCAGAAGGAATTAAGCTGGAAAATGGCTTAAAGTTATTTTTTCTGTATGGTTTAAATTCTGAAATGTGCTCACTTAGTGAATTTGCTGTTTTTCCTCAAACCTAATATTTTTTCTAAATACATATAAAGCAAGACATTTAGAAAAACAAACATTGTGATTTCCAAGTTCCAAAGTTCCAAGTGCATGTCACTTTCTGAGTTGACTTCATTTTATGTTTGTGAAAAGGATTTTTATTTAAAAATGCCTGGACTATTACATGAATCAGGCTCTAGTAAAGTATGTTCATGCGGATCGACCCTTTAAACCCAATCACAGGTTGTACTTTATAAAAAAAATTAACGTAGGTGATAAAGTTTATTCTACTAAACACCTTAATTAAAGAGTAAATTGCAATCCTGTGGTCGTCGGGAGATTTCAAGTAATTGTGCGTTCCGTGGGCATGACAATGGACGATTTGTTTTCTCGCGAGATCAGCGGTTGCTCAGATACCGACGTCAACATCAGGGGGTTGGGGCTGTCGGAACTACCTGTGAGGAAACAACTCTAAATAAACTATTTCTAGGACCAAAATGGAGGTAAGTTAACTAACTAGGACAGTCTTACGTAAACGTTTGTGCGCAAATTCATCCGTAATTTGACGGTAAAGCAACAACGTTTGTAACCGTCTTAGGTTAAAGTTGCATAAATAAATGTTCCTCACTTCACTAAAGCTCCTAACATGTTTCCTGCAGCCACCTAAAAAATACTGATATTATTAAGTCTGTCTAACGTAAGAGCAAGTAGAATTGTAGAATTATTTTCATATCTTTGTCAATTTTCTTGACTAAATTAAAAGTCCAGTGATAAAAGTTTATATCCACAGAATTGTACAATACACTATTCACAGTTACAATTACAAATACTGTATGTTTTAAATTGTTTTCACCTGTTGTTGGCCCCTGGATAGGAAATTCTGAATCCTAATTTGACCAGAGTTGGGTTCAGTTGGTTATAATATGCATTTTCTAACACAATATATCCTTAAATTAAAAAAAAAAAAGGGTTTGTAGAAGAATAAATAAACAACAGAATAATAACATACTAGAAGATTTCCCTTCCTAATTTCTGATTCCTGCTCAGGTTGCCATCATTGAGCTGTTCATGAAAGCATCATTTTAATGTTGGACTCTGTTTCTGCCCCAGGACTCTGGGAAAGCATCAGAGGATCCAGCCGAGTGTCTGGAGGAGTTCCAGCTGGTGCTCAGTGAGTTGGCAGAGGACCAGAGCATGGACAAGATTAGGGTGGAGTTTGAGAAGCTCATTAGTGCTCTGAAGAAATCCCGGGAGAATGAGAAAAGGCTGATGTCAAAATGCAGGGAGCTAAATGCTGAGATTGTATCCACCTCTACCAAAGTTGCAGCTGCGCTCAAACTGTCCCAAGAGGATGAGACAACAATAGCGTCACTAAAGAGGGTACGCTTGCATCGGCATAATACTGGAGATTAGTCATTCAGTATTTTTCACATAATGGAGATTTTGGAGAACATAGAGTCTGTGATACACTGCTAAAATCTCATACTGATCTTCTAAGCAATAGCTGATAATTGTATTCTCCCATTGACTTAAAATTGTATAAAGTATTATGTTGAATTCCAAACAATGCAGCTATTGCTACTGTGTACAAGAAAAATAGTTGTTCATTGTAACAAGTGTGAATTTTAGAAAGTTAAATTTACACTTGTAAAAAATCAAAAAAATACTCTACCCATTCATCTTGTACTTTGCAAAATTTTTCCATTTTGTATTTTTTGTCCAGCACTCAACCTTGACACATTCACATCTTCAACAGAATTGCAGTTCGAATTTGCACTTTTTCACATCAGTGCAATGTGTCACCAGAAAGTCATCAGTGTGTCACCAGAAAGTATTAAAGTGAAATCCATTTGTCTTGCCAGCCTCCTCCCTCCCCCGTTGCGATAGCTCCCACCTTTGCACCTACTGGTTTAATCTGTTGTTCCTCTCTCTGGGCCTAAGGAGCTGGATAAAGCTTGGAAAATGGTTGATGCTGCCCATGACAAGGAGAAGAAAGACAGAGACCTCATCAAAAACTTAAAAGAGGAAGTTACCAATCTGACCCAAATTACAGACCAACAAACAGGCTTCTCTGAGAATGAAGAGCACAGGTGAACACGTCTTCCTCCAGAGACTTTGAGTGACTTATTGCTTTTATTAAGCCAAATATTGCTTTGTCTTTTTTTTTTTTTTTACAGTGAACTTCAAAAAATCGCAGAGGAACTGACTAAGGAGAGAGATCGGCTGATGACGACTGTGGAGGAACTGAGAGATAAGCTGAACAAAGCTGCTGTTACCCAACAGGAGACAGAGGCCCAGAAACAGAGAGACATGGAAAACATCACTCAGGTAAGAGTTTTATTGAGTGTCACAGTCTTCAACACCTGACTCTGCCACCCTGTGGCAGGGGAAGGCAGAAATAAATATTATAATTAAAAAAATATATTGTATTATATTTATATTACATGTAGGATGATGCAAGTTTTCTAAATTGCTAATACAAAGCCATTTAGATTGAAAGTCGTTTCTTACTTTCTTACCTAACACAGCTGCAACAGGAACTCCAGGTACAGCAGAATGAAATTTCCAGGGAAATAAGACTGAAGGAAAAACTGGACAAGGAAGTGAAACAGTTGCAGTTAGACCTGGAGGCCAGGATGGGTGACATTAAAGCCCTCAATCAACAAGGCCAACGCACCAAAGAAGAGCAACAGAGAGTGGAGCAGCAGCTCAAAGAGCTAAAGGTGAACAACACAGAGGGTTAGGGTTAGATAATAATAACTGTTCTTTTTTATTTGTATTCTACATCTCTCACTGTGTGTGGATAAACTGGATACAAAAATTAAAATACAAAATAGGTGTGAATGTGAGAGGGCATTGTTGCTTGGTCATGCAACGAACTGATGGAGTCGACCTCAAAGACCCCTGTGATTGGCTCCAGTCCTGTAACTCAGTTCTACTCTAACCCAGAAAAGGTAACCATGGTAAATGGAGTTATTATCTTTTTATTAAAGAGGGAGGGATTAAACAGAGAGTTATGAAGTTTCTTTTAATCTCCCTTTCACACATGTTATTCCCAAATAAAGATAAGCATGTTGAGTCTTCTCAAGTGTGAAATTATTTGAAATAAATTTGAATGTATTTGCATTCATTCTGGTTTGTGTTTGTTAAGAATACACTTTACATCTCAGTAAAAAATAAAATGTGTTTTTTTTTTCTCCTCTTCCCTTGGACCGCTCCCTTCTCTCATTCTGACAGGTCACGCATGAGAGAACCACCAAGGAGCTGGAGCAGACGCAGGTGAAGAACAGCAAGTTGCAGCAGGAGTGTGAGCAGCTCTCCTCACTTAAAGAGCATCTCAGCCTGGAGAATCAGCAGAGAACAAATGAACTCAAGGTACATTCCATCCACACCAGCATCATCTAGAAATGAAACAACATGAAGAAAAATAACTCCCAAAAGAAAAAATACATGTGGTGAATCATGACAAACTATATTTGTCCGTCATGGAAGTTTACATTGTAGTCTTTCTCTGGGTTTAAAACAGTGCACAGTAATATTCTTTGTTATTCTACTACTGCTAGACGAGGGAAGAGGAAGTGACACAAATGCGCCAGGAGATCGCCAAACAAATGAAGATGAGAGAAATCATCCAGAAGAAGTTCAATCAAATGGAGGACCAGAAATCTGAGGTGGACGTACAGAGGGAGACACTGAAGGCCCAGATAGTTGGTCTGGAGAAAGGTCAGGGAGCACAGTCTCAGATCTACAGTATAATGACAGAGCTGAACACAACGATGAGCAGTACAGTAATTCATAGGGCTGTTAGAACCATTACAGTTTTTAACTTGTTTAATTACGTGGTAGCTAATCATGGTTCTGCGTATGCATTAAAATGAATTGAAATTTTAATGAGATTAATCTTAACAAATTAATTAACACTAATGGATTCAATTGACAGCCCAACTGTAGTCGATGTAGAAGGATAAATGCAGAAAATAAGAAAAAAAATATGTATATATTTGTTTTTATTTATATTTGTAACTACATGACCATCACAAAATACTGTCTTCTTCTCAGATCTTGAATCTTCCCAAAAGCAAGTGGAGGCTGACAAGAAAGCCATAGATGAGCTGATCAGAGAGAGAGACATCCTGAATAAGGTTCATCTGAACACACACAGGATATTATACACAGACACAAGAACGTTATAAAATATTCTGTTCTGTCTTTTTTTTGTTTAATGAATGCGATAAACAAATCGCAAACTCATTGAACTACGACGTTAGTATTTCTACGTTATGTTTTTTTAAATATCTTGCATCATCCTTTGTTCACAACTCGCAATTGTTTGTGCATCCCCATCAACAGAACATGATTAAAGCTGCACAGTCCACGGAGAAACAGCAGAACATAGTGAAGCTCCTGGAACAGGACAAGAAAACATTGGAGAATGAAATCAATGGGTATCGTCAGGAGGCGCAGAAACAGCGAAAGATCATCCAGCAGCTGGAGAAGGAGCGGGACCGCTACATCAACGAGACCAGCAGCCTCATGCAGAAGGCACGTCACAGGGACAACAAGGACTCTAGTCGTGTTTGAATAGTGTTCGAATTCTGTCTCTCTTTGACCTCTGACAGTTTTCTTTTTTCCACAGGTGCAACAAAAAATGAGCGATGTCGAAGTTCAAGAGATGGAGATATTTGACTGGAAGAAGAAGGTCACTCAGGCAGAGTGTAAACTGAAGCAGCAGGAGAACCTGCTGGAGTCGGTCGTGGCTGAGAGGAACCTTTACAGCAAGAACCTCATCGAGGCTCAGGTGAGGGTGTAAATGTCACAGTCAAAGTCTGTTTTTGTTGTGTTGTGTTGGCAGTGTTTTTCAACACAGTCTCATTGTGTTTCAGGAGGAGATTGCAGAGATGAAGAGAAAGATGAAGACCATGAACAACCAGGTCACTCGTCTGAGAGACGAGATCACAGG